GAGGTCTTGTTGATGCTTAACTTTGTATTATTTCTACTTTGGTGTGTGTCTTTTTTTTTTTTTTTAATTTTGGAAGCCTCTAATAGTAGTGTTCAAAACAGTCAAGAAAAGAACAACAAATGTTCAGTCAACAAATATTTACGATGTGCAGGCACTGGGCAAAATTGCTGCTGTATGGGACTTATATGGGGAAGATAGATGGTAAACATAAGTAATAAGTACATGCAAAAATAATTTGAGATTGTGAGAAAAGGTATGAGGAATATAAATGGAAGCAAGTCATGGAGTTTTTTTTAGACAGAGTGGGCATTTTAAACTAAAATGTTACAGATTCTGTAAGGTGGCATTGAGTTCATATTGTGTGTTAGATGCCAGAATGTGGAAGCTGGCACGGGTGGACAGTGATCCTTACGGAGTGCTGAGGAAGGTCTGAAAAGGGTCTGTGGGGTGTGTGATAAGTGAGTTGAATTTGGAAGGTTGAGCTCCCGTCCACAAAAGGCTAGAACCTCTAGGCAGAGGGGACACACAGGTAAAGGCAGGGTTGTAGGAGATTCATCTGCCTCCTTGGAATCATAATGACTGCCTGTTTTAGAATGAGCTTTGCAGCTTTCCTTCTCTAAATCTTGTGTAATTCCAAAGAAATTTGGCATACTGGCTGCAGTCTCAGTGGTGGGTGAGATCCGGTGGTTTGGGGAACGGAAGCGTGTATGTCCACTTTCATAACACTGTTGTAAAGTCGGCTTGCTTTCTGCACTCTCTTCCCTCTGCCGTGCTCCGTTAGTTGCTTTGCATCTGATCATTGCGATTTAATAACATTTAATGACACTTCCCTGCTGATTTTAGTGCCAGCTACCCTTGGCATCTAAGCCCAGATGCACGTATTAAGGAGGGGACAGCCAAGGCCTCCAGGTTGGCAGTTACTTGGCTGGAAATCCCATTCACATTGGGAAACAAGATTTTTAAAATAAATTTGGCACTGGAAGCAATGCCATCCTTTTGTAAAGCTGTGTCAATAATCATAAACCCTCACAATCATGCCCCCCCAACCCTTGGCCAAGCTGACAAATATTCAGGCGTCAGCATATCCTCTTGATGCCACCTTCTGTTGACCCTGTGGGATTCGCTTGCTGTTTAGGTTGGCACTGGAGCACAATCTTGTGTTTTATGTAAGAAGGCACATGAGAGAAGTCCTTTGTGCTTTGCCTCTCTGAGTGGGTGCTGAGCAAGAGGTCTCATACCCCATCATTTTCGGTATGGTCAGAGCTAGTGAACATTTCTGTGGCCGGGTAACTGTTTTCTAACTATTGGCAAAGTTTTTTGTTTTTCGTTTTTTCCCCAGTGCCATTTTGTTCTAGGCTGGGATCATAGTGACCCAGCTTTGGCTTAAGATGAATTTTGCAAATATATGTATGTGGTGTGACTACAATATTTTCAGAGAAAATGGGCATGCGTGTGACACCGGCTGATGAAATATAGTGCCACATATGCTCAATCAGGCTGGGAAGGTCTACCCTTGGCAAATTGTACCAGTAAGAGGGCAAAGCTGGTTGAGAGCTGCAGAAATCTACAAAATTCTCTCCCCTGAGAAGGCTTGTTACTAGCATGCAACATAATACAGAACCTATTTTCTGGTATATTTTTCATTTTTGCTTTAGAATATCAAGGGAAAAGGCTGTTTCACATAGTTGGCCACTTAGCTTTATTATTCATCTTGCTCCCTCTCATTAATTTTTTTAAACACAGTGTTAAATGTTAGCGTCAGGTGTTGGCAGCCTTGCTGGATGGAACAGATTGCTTTGAAATAAACACAGCTGGAAACTGACCACATATTGTTTTTCTTCCTTTTAAGAAATGAAAGAGGCATTTATAGAAAGGCTGGGGAATGCTGTCCTTTCCAGAATTGCTTTATAGATTTATTCCTCCAAGTCTGGTTAATGATTAATGTCCCGCCTTGGTGTCCAAATGGACCCACTTCCCTTCTCCCTTCCTGAAGTTGCAGTTCCGCGGGAACAATGAACTAGCAGAGGTTTGCTGCAATCCGCACTTGAGGAGGGGGTGGAGTCAGTTCAGTTCTGTTTCTCTCTGCTGAAGTGTGGTCTTCTGAGCTAAGTGAATACCTTCGGTGGGCTTTTCCTCTGCCAGCCTTCCTTGCAGCCTTGAAAACCTCATCAGAATCAATTCTGCTGACTTCTTGCTGGGCTGCTCTTTCAGTGACGGGCACGTAAGTGAATTATGGAATGTTGGTGTGTGTGTTTGTGATTTGTGTCTTCTTTGATCTACTTTTAAAAATAAAGGCAGGGTATTTTCTTACTGTGTAATTCAACTAGGTTTTGTGTCTCCTGGAACGATTTTTCTTGTTGCTGTCAGAAGAGAACCAGGGGCCTTCTTTTTCACGCCTCGAAGACTTTATTGTTATTTTGGTCATTTATTCCTTTAATCTCTGTGCCAAAAGATTTCTTTTTCATCTCTCTCTTAGTTTACTATTTCTTTGTTTAGACATTTTGATGATGTGTTGAATTATAGGGTAATAATTGATTGCTATTAATGAATTGCTAATAATTAATTGCTATGGTATAATACTTATTGGTATGTTAAAGTTTTTCAAAGGAGCTTTTCTCTGTAAATAATTGTTTCTCTTGACATCTATCTTGTAAGAGCTGAGTTAGAAAGAAAGCTTGTAGAAGAGAGAGATGTAGGAATTTAAGAGTAATTTTAGCTTTTGGTTTGCTTAAAGGGCAATTGGGGAGCCTTTTTCACAGGCAAACTATATTTTACTTTCCTTTTGTTTTGTTTTATCTGAGAGAATTATAGAGTCATATCTGTTGGGATTACCTGAATTACCTGTCGCCTGTTTTGCAATACGTGTTATCTGGACAAGTTGAATTTGTCATTCACTCCTTACTAGAGTATCTCATTGAAAACAGCATTCCCTATCTTTTTGACGGAGGCCTATGGATGGGAATTGTTGGAATTAGGCTCTCTATCTAGTTGGATTCTCACAAACAGATCACACACTTCGCGTTGTTCCTGGTACATAGCACAGCTCTATGTACTAATAACTGACCAACTTAGTAACATGTGCTAAATAGCTTCCTGGACTCCAGGAGTAGGAAAGTGAATGGTGAGTTTAGAAACTTATAAAATATATAGATAAGCCCAAATGAAGGGAGAATTGAGAAAACCTGTTATAAAGAAGATCATTGTAAAAGGCTTTCTCTGGGTTGATTGCTGCCAAGCATATTTTTTCCTGGCTTTATACAGCTTGGCAGAATTGATCTAGATTTTGGATTTTGAAAGCATGAAAAAAAAAAGGACTCAATTATGCGTTATATTGAGCTATGATAATATGGCGAATTCTGATTGTGATTTCTTAAATGACTTATTTTTGAATGAGAGCCTACGGATTCTTTTTCTAAATGATTATAATTAACACCTACTTAAGGTATCTCAGTGCACTTTCCTATATTATCTCATTTGATTCCCATATCAGTTCAATAAGGTCAGTATTCATGTTACTTCCCCATTTTACAATTGAGGATATCGAGAATCAGAGGAAAAGTGATTCTGGAGATCACTTGGCGAACGGAGAAACCAGATGTAAGCTGTTTTTTGAAAAACTCAAAACCCCATACTCCCTGTACCCCATGCTGTCTGATCATCTCTAAACTTCTTCCACTGTGGAACAGGAAAGGACCTCTGCCCTGGGTGTCCGGGGACGTGCGTTCTCCTTCTGCCTGGGTCTGTGATGTGATGTGAGCTGGCTCTGTGATGCTGAGCAATCACTGAAGTCCTTGGATGTCATTTTCCTGCAAAGAGGTTACTTTGTTTGATAAGTTTCTTTGCAGCTTTGGGATTTCCCTCCAGGGCCCTGTCTGGGATTGTGTCAGCTCTGTAGTGCTCATCAGCAGTGTAGAGAAGAGGCAAGAAAGACAGTAGAACCGTGGGCGTTCCGTCCAGCTCTGCTTTGGTTTCCCCTGCCAAAAACACCGAGAGACACAGCATCTCCTTTGATGAGGAAAAATCCCAGGCCCTTAACAAGACTCTTTTCTCTGATCTGCTTTCTGAGCTGGCATTTCTTTTTGACCCATCAACAAAAGTATTTGAGCCAAGCTCTCTTGTGGTTTCAGCCCGGGAATGAACACATCAGTTATATTCCCATCTGGCCCCCAAAGAAGGGAAAATTTCCTTGCATGAGCCCATGTGTTATCTTAATACTTTTTGGAACAGGGCAAATGTAAATAAATATTACTCTATCCATCTCTTAGGTGTTTCGTCTTATTTAAGGTGGTTGAGAATGGGCAGGGCAGAATAGTGGGCAAGTATTTTTTATTCTACCTCCATGGCTAACTCTATCAGTCATTCACAGATCAATTTAGAAAATTGTGGGATACTCAGATAAGGGTAACTGCGTTTGACTGACAGTAAAAAGAAAAAAGGCTGGCCCAGTGGCATAGTGGTTATATTCTCATGCTCTGCTTTAGCAGCCAGGGGTTTGCCACTTTGGATCCTGGGCACAGACCTACACACCGCTTGTCAGGCCATGCTGTGGTAAGCCTCACACATATAAAGTAGAGGAAGATGGGCCCAGATGTTAGTTCAGGGCCCATCTTCCTCAAAAAAACACAAAAACAAAACCAGAAAACTTAACCAACACCATGTACCATTACCATCATTATGTACAAGAAAGAACAAAGAAGTTGGAATGACAAACTCTCAGTAGGGAGAAAAGGGCAGGTCTCCCTCGGTAAAGAGAGTTGGCATTCTTCTTCTGACATTTTCACCCTGGAGTGGTGAGAAACCTCATCCATGACCACGGTCTGCATTTGGGAAGCTCTGCTCAGCCTGGTACTTGATTGCTTGTCACTCACAGACTTCCTGGTAGGAAGTGGAGCTCTGAATGGGGAGATGAGAGCTACGTTCCCAGATCAGCCCTTTTCTTCTGCTTCTGAGCTCGTACTGTGATTTAGACTTTAACTTTATCCTTACGTCTTTCCCTATAGGCAAGAAGCGAAACCCCGGCCTTAAAATTCCAAAAGAAGCATTTGAACAACCTCAGACCAGTTCCACGTAAGTTGGCAAGATGCTCATCTTAATCCAAACACTTGTACTTTACAGATGTCCAGGGAACGGGTGTTCATTTTTGGACTGGTGAGCAATACCTTGACTATGGAAATAGGTGTTAGAAAGAGGAGCCCTTTAAAGGAGGAAGCCATGTGCTCATTGTTCTGAGACTTGAAATAATCATACTCGGTCAGTCATTGAATGGGTAGCTTTGAACTGAGTGTCTCATATTACTGGTTGGCTGAAAATTGAGTGTCACAAATGCGTTTGGCAGATGGGGTCCTACGTATGTCCAGGAAGCTCACTGGACATGGAAGTTTTGCCTTTTCCATATAGATTTGAGCGAACAAGCAACTCCCTGTGAAAGCCGCTACTATAAAACTTGGGTTGAGACAGAAAGATGGTATTTGGTGAGGACTCAGCATCCTGACACCTCAATCCTGTCCCATATAAACAGAAGGCGAAATGAAGTAAAGGAACATATTTTTTATTAGCTGAGGCTTTGGTCCAAATCCCTGAGTGAGCTCAACTCCCAGTGAAGCAGGACACCCTCTCTCTGAGCCTCCGTATTGTTTCTTTGTCTCTCTGTGAGGTGGGGAGGGTATCCAGCTGGTGGTATGATCGCCTATGGAAGCATATGCATGGAGGAATGGAAATTCCAAGGAAAAGAAATCACAGCAGAGGTACTAAAGAGGCAGGGCAAGTACAAAGAGAGACCATCCCAGTGGAAGGTTGAGTTTTTAAGGCTTTTGCTCATCTCTACAAAAGTGCCTTCCTTTGTAAAGGTTTTTGACTGTAACCCTGATCCAGCCTATCAGAAAGTGCGCCCCCTGGTGTTGGAATGAGCTAGTAAAAATGATCATGACATGTAAGACTGCTAAGACTGTTAGTCATTGCATTCTGTGCATCAATATAAACAAACTTTCCACTGAAGAACCTCTAAGAACAAAACTGAGAGGAAGGTGATTCTTCACGGTTCCGGACTGCAGCTCAAGGGCCAAACTGAAGTTAGACTGTTCCTTTCGTGAGGATCTACAGGAGGACGTTCTTTCCATATCTATTTTCAAGATTGGGTTTTTTTTGGTGCCTCTGGTTGTTTTTTTCCTGTGGACCCATGAACTGTGTAATTAGTAACTTTTCCTTTTTTATTGGTTTCTTGAGCACTTAGAGTCAAATATGTGGCTTCCCTGTACCACCTGTATAAGACTTTATGGGATAGACTTTAAATTTTTTTTATTTTAAAGTAATTGCAGATTCGCAGGAGGTCGCAAAGAAGCATACAAGGAAGTCCCATGTATCCATCCCCAAGCTCACATCCTCCTCCTTGATGTTAACATCTTACACAACTCTAGTACATTATCAAAACTAAGAAGTTGGCATTGGTGCGAACCATAGAGCTTCTTCAGATTTCACCAGCAATATGAACACTCATTTGTGTGTGTGTGTGTCCATGCAATTTTATCACTTGTGTAGCCTTGCATAACCACTACCATAGTCAAGATACTCAACTGTATGAACACTACAAGACTCTTTCGTGTTACTCCCTTATAGCCACAGCCACCTCTAACCCCTGTCCCTGTTATCCCTAAGCCCTGGCAACCACTAATATGTTCTCCATCTCCATTTTGTTATTTCATGATTTCTCTGTAAATGGAATCATGCATCTCCTTTTTGAGATTGCCTTTTTCCCTTCACTATAATTTCCTTGAGGTTCATTCAAGTTGTTGCACGTATCAATAGTTCATTCCTTGTGATTGTTGAATACCATTCCAAGGTATGGATATACCACAGTTTAACTCTTTAAACATTGAAGGAGATATGAGTAGTTTCCAGTTTGGGGCTATTGTGAATAAAGCTGCTATGAACATTCTTGTACCAGTTCCTGCATGAAAATAAGTCATAATTTCCCTGGGATATATGTCTAATAGTGCAATTACTTGGGTCATTTGGTAAGTTCAGTTTTACTTTTGAAAGAACTGCAGAAGTATTTTCCAGAGTGATTGTACGATTCTCATTTTACATTCTTACCAGCAATGTATGAATGATTTCAGTTTCTCTGCATCCCTGCCAACATTATCACTATTTTTCGTTTTAGCCATTCTGATAGATGTGTAGTGATGTATCATTGTAGTTTAATCCTCATCTCTCTAATGGATAATGACATTGAACATTTTTAGGTGTTTATTTTTCATCCGTATATCTTCTCTGGTGAAATGTCCGTCTATACATCTGTTTGCCTATATTTTAATTAGATTAGATTATTCTTTTAATGTTGCGTTTTGAGAGTTCTTTGTATATTCTAGACACAAGGAGTTTGTCAGATATCTGATTTAAAAACATCTTCTCCCAGTCTGCAATTGGTCTTTTTGTCCTTTCATTTTGATGAAGTCCAATCTAGCAGTTTTTCTTCTTATGGATCATGCTTTTGGTGACAGGTTTTGGAAGCCTTTGCCTCGTCACAGGTCCTGAAGATTTTCTCCCATGTTCTTTTCTAGAAGTTTTATAGTTTTACATTTTAGCTTTAACTCCATGATGCATTTTGAGTTTAATTTTTGTACAAGGTGTCAAGTTTAGGTAGAGCTTTATTTTTTGCCAATAGATTTCCAGTTGCTTCAGCATCCTTAGTTAAAAAGGCTATCCTTCCTCCATTGATGGGTCGTGCTAGGTCTGCACCTGGGATCTGGACCGCGAACCCTGGGCCACTGAAGCAGAGTGCAAGAACTTAACCATTATGCCACTGGGCAGGCCGCATGGTATTCCGTTTTTTATTTTAGTTTCCACTTGTTCATTTTCAGTATATAGAAGTACAATCGATTTTTCTGTATTGATCTTATATCCTGTGACCTTACTAAACTCACTTACTAGTTCTAGGAGCTTTTTTGTAGATTCCTTAGAGATTTCTATGTACACAGTCATGCCTTCCACAAATAGAGACAGTTTGATTTCTTTCTTTCCAAACTGTATTTTTCTTACTTTTATCCATTTTCTTTATTTCAGCGTCAAGCATGTCCTGTACTATGTTAAATAAGATTGGTGTGAGAGCAGGCAACCTTGCTTTGTTCTTAGAAGGAAAGCATTCCATCTTTTATCATTAAACATGTTATGTTTTTGTAGATGCTCTTTATGAAGTTGAAAAAGTTCCTCTCTAGTCACAGTATACTGAGAGTTTTTATCATGAATATGTGTTGAATCTTCTTGAATGCTTTTTTGTACATCAGTTTGTATGATCATAGATTTTTCTTCTTTGTACTATTGATATGGATTATATCGATTGATTTTTAAATATTGAACTATCCTTGCCTACCCAAAATAAATCCCACTTGGTTGTATTATATTATTTTTCTATACATTGTTGGATTCAATCTGCTAAAATTTTGTTGAAGATTTTTTTCTTTAAGTTCATAAGAGATGTTGGTCTCTAGTGTTGTATGGGTTTTTTTGCTGTGTATCATTATTTACTGGTTTTGGTGTTGAGGTAATACAGGCCTCATAAATGAGTTGGTAAGAGTTCCTTTTTTTTTCTGGAAGACATTGTATAAAATTGGTGTTAATTCAATTTTCAATGTTTGCTAAAATTCTCCAGTGAAACAAAGTGAGCCTGGATATTTCTTTCTCTGGAGATTTTTAGTTACAAATTCAATTTCTTTACTAGTTATAGGACTATTAAGATGATCTGTTTCACCATGGCTAAGTTCTGGTAGCTTGTGGTTTTCAAGGAATTAATCTGTTTCTTCTAAGTTATTGAGTTTATTAAAGTTGTTCATAGTATTTCCTGATTATCCTTTTAATGGCTGCAGAATATGTTGTCATATCCTCTGGTTTTTTTCCCTAGTATTGGTAATTTATGTCTTCTCTTTTGTTATCTGTGTCAATTTTACTAGAGGTTTATCAATTTTATTGATTTTTTTTTAAGAGCCAATTTTGTTTTCGTTACTTTCCTATTTTCAATTTTATTGATTTCTACTCTTATCTTTATTATTTCCTTTGAGATACTTTCTTATATCAACCTTCCAGCTGTCTTACATTCCTTTCCTTTAAATTTTTCTTCTTCACCTTTCTAATTTATATTAATTTTCTGTATTTTATGAATTTTTGAAAGCCACTGTAAATTCCTTCTTGGTACAGACAAATGAATAAAAACCTGTGCAAGGATAAACTTGGTTTCTATGTTGTCTTTCCCTTATGTGGTAGAATAGACTCTGACTGTACTTTTCTTTTTCACCATGTTAAGGAAAGAGCATCACTTCATTATTGTAGACTATACCACTTTAGCTCATGGAGAGGCTTATTATTATTATTATTTTAATACTGAGGCTAAAATTTGTACTCCTGAAGAAGTAGCTTCCACATTTTCTGTTTTTCTTGGCAATTTTTTGAGCTTGGCTCGATGACTCTTACCATTTATACCCTGCCTCCTTCTGCTGTAATACACAAAAATAAATAGCCTGGGACAGAGCTCCATTCTCCTTAGTTCCGTGTGTGTGGTCCTTCTGCGTGAGCTCTTACTTTGAGTAACTGATGTCAATGTGTTTTTGCCTCAGATTTCTGAGCTGTTGTCCCCTCACTTAAGCGGCAGTAACTAATTCTGAATCGATTCTGTGCTTGTTGACATTATTTCATTTAATCCTCACGAGAAACTCAGGAGGCAGTTACTATTGCTCTCACTTTATAAGTGAGAAAAGAGACCTGTACATGGGTCAGGTGTCTTGCTCGAAGCAGGTGAGATTGCTACGTGGATAAGAGTTCAGGCTCATGGCACTAGAATGCCTACGCTTGTATTTGGGATCCAAATGTCACTAGTGGAATACCTTAGGCAAGTTGCCTATCCCCAGTAAGCCTTGGTTTCCCTTTTTGAACAATAGAAATAAACAATGATGTGGTTGCTATGAGGATTAGGTGTCATAATCCATATTAAGTGGCTAGACTACTGCCGATTCTGTTCTAATTTCTCAATGAAGGTCACTCCAAGTATTGTTGTTGTTATTATCACTCCACTTAATATTTATTATTGTGAAGTGGGAGAGCTGGCATACAAGCTTAGGGCTCTCTGAGTTTCAAGTATGTATTCTTAGCCACGCACGCATTGGACTGGTAGAGACTGTGGCCGAACAGCCCATGGCTCTGAGATAACAGGCACAATCTTACTTCTACAGTTGAGAAGACTTTGGCGTGGCTCTGGGTTCCCATAGAGATGGGTATAGTCTACACCATCTCTATGAATGACCTTAAATTATTTAGTCTGTTTCAATGTTAATTCTTCACATTCAAATAGAGATAATAATACTTCTAAGAGTTGTGAAAATTAAAGAAGATATTTTATGTAAAGAGTCTAGTACAGTCTCTGGCCCAAGTAGATGCTTAATAAATTTTGTTGACTACATGAATAATAATTGTAACAATAACCAGTGAACTGATTACTCAGGTAACATTATAAATAAATAATTATTACAATAAACCAAAACTGTTCATATAAACAACTAATACTAGGTGACCTTTGGAATACCTTTGGCCTTCCAGGGAAGGAATTTTGTAATAAGCTTGGTTCTTTTCCCGGAGGACTAAAATATTGAATAAGTGACAGAGAACATCCACCCACAGTTTAAACCTCCTGCATAGCTCAAGGCTCCAGGCAAACTAACATGCCCAGCCCTGGACAGGACACAGTGTCAACTAATCTAATACGAGCTGTCAGTCTTGGCCTCTTGATTTGATGCTCTTGGCAGACCTGATGAGCCCAAAGGCCTAAGGCTTGGGACGATTGATCATTTTCATTAGGGGAGACCTGGGTGTTGGGAGTAGCTTCCTTGGATTCAGTCAGTCTTGGATTGGAATCATGGCTTCCCCACTTGGGAGCAAGTTAGTTAAACTCTAAGCCAGTTTCTCATCTGGATCATGGGAATGACGATGCTTGTAGGGGTGTGTGTATGTATGTATGTGTGCATGTTTAAAGAATTAAATGAGATGCTGGTAAAGTACCTAGCCCAACTTTCAGCATATTCCTTTTCTCCTTAGGTCAAGACTGAGATTTAGGTGGTAAGAGTTTTATTCTCAACTCTATTGAGGACTGTATGGCTTCAGCAAATCACTGACTTGTTTTGGGTTTCGTTTTTCTCAATCTGGAAAATGGCGTGAAACCCTCCTATTAGGTAGAGGTGTAATGGCAAGGTTAGTAGAAAGCTGGAGTCAGTAAACTTTTTTTTGCCAAAGGCTAGATAGTAAATATTTTAGGTTCCCCAGGCCACACTGGGCTCTATTGGATATTCTTTGTTGTGTGTTTTTTTACAACCCTTTAAATTTGTAAAAATCTGTCTTAGCCGGGTGACAAGCTATCATTTGTGGAGCCCTGATATAAAATACTAGAATATCAGACCTGGAGGAGGTCTGTAAATAAGAGGTCTGGGTGAGAGGTCTTACCCAATACTCTCGTTGGATGGTGAGAAAACAGAGGTAGCCCCAAATAATTTTTTTATTAGTGACTTTTCTGTTACTTTATATTTTTTAGAAGGAAGGGTGCTGAACAATTGCAAAGGACTTTTTATTATCTTAGTCACATGTTTCAAGTAATATTTGCCTTTATTTCAAAGTTCCAGTGCAATTAGTACAAATTGTGACAACTAAAGAAAAACAACTTTAGAAATTTTAAGAATGAGAAATCAGATTTTTAGAAATTTGATTCCTCTGGAAAGCATTTCTGAAGAAAAAGTCTCTGCTCAGGAACACAAGATATATAAAAACATCACTCCTGTGTGCGTGTGTGTGTGTGTGTGTGTGCACGCGTGTGTGTTCATCTCTTTCCCTCCCAGTCCCTGGTTTTAAATTAATACAGAAAAATTTTAAGTATTCCATGCATATCAAAGGGATTTGGAGGTGAGAGAAGGCTTGCCATTAGAACCTTAGATTCGTGTTTATACAAGTGTTTATGGTCCTACTTTTTCCTTATTCTTTTATTTATTTATTTAGTTTCAGCAGAAGGGGAAGAATTACAATGCATTAGAGTTGGAAAAAGTCATCATTGCCAAAGGATTCTTTTCTCTCTTCCTTTCATCTTCCCTTGTATTTTTCTAGAGATAATTCTGGCATGTAATGTCCCTTCAGGGACACCTGAGGGTCTCTTTGGTCACCCTTTGTTCTGGCAGCTCTCGGATTCTTTTGTCTTTAGCCTCTAGTTGCTTTCTTTGTTTGATCATATTAACAGTATGTTTCTTGACATTTACTACTTTTGTCATGATACTTTTTGTGCATTTTTTATTTCAAGAAAATGCCTTTCTGGGCTCCTACTTAGGTGCACAGCCAAAGCCAAACATCTTTCTCTTAAGTGGATTGATATTCACCAGGGAGCAATGAAGTAGTAGAAATAAATACACATGAGGGGGCTCTGTGTTCTCTCTTGTGGAGACAGAAAATCAGCAAACTTCTGCCTGCTGAGAGGACCCCTGGCCAGTTTGTACACTAAGTATAGGAGAAATATCGCCACTAGATTAGACAGCCTGGTAGAATAGAAAGTATTCTGACCTGAAAATCAGGAGACCTGGGTTAGTTGTGACCTTGGGCAAGTCACTTCAGCTCTCTGGAGCTTTTTCCATCTGTAAAGGCAGGGACTAGACAGATTTGGAATTCCCGTGTTCTATGAATTTTATGAGGTAACAGAACCATACCCCAATTATGGTCTCTTTTTTTTTAAACAATTGTGGAAAAACTGGTGGGATAATTGGACACATTGGTGCTCTTGGATAAAAGAAAAAGTTTGGGGCTTACTAGAATAATAGTATAATTATCTATATAACAATGTATGTTATACTTATTGGATATTTACTATATGCCGGGCATTCTTTTAAGCATTTTACTTGGAATATCTCATTTAATACTCGCTCTTTCTCCATGAAGTAGGTACACTATTATCCTCATGTTAAAGAAAAAATGGAAGCTCAAAGAGATTGAGTAATTTAAACCCAAATGTATTTCATTCAAAATCCCACACTATTAACACTTTTATGTTGCTTTATTTTACTCATGAACTTTCACCTTATTTCTAAGGAAAAAATCTCTCCAGTCGCCCGTGATTTGGGAAGGACATATTTGACTAAATATCTCCTGTTTTTTCTTTTCCTCCTTGTCTTTCTTAGGCCACCTCGAGATTTAGACTCCAAAGCTTGCATTTCTATTGGAAGTCAGGTGAGAAAAATCATGTCTGCCAGTTAGTGTTTTGCCATTTTATATATATGCTTTCTGATTGGCCATTGAAAATTTATTTTTTGTAACATGCTCTCAGGGGGTGAATCAAAAAACTTTGAATTTAAACGGAGGTGGTCTGTGGAGCTCTTGCAGTTCTAAATGTTGCATTGAAATCAGGCTACTGTGGTCCTGATAGGAGGTATTTGAGAAGAGTAGATGACTCCCTTTGGGGTACATTCCTCAAGGTCCGAGCATAGATCCGGTTGCCATCAGTCAGCAAATGGATTACACGTGTAATTATGGGGACATGGCTAAAGAACCATAACGGAGACAGGTTACACGGAGCAATTTGGCAGCTGGGTTGGAGTTGGATCTCTGTATTCCCTATGACAAGAAGGAGGCATGCCACAGGAGTCTAAATATCTCCCGGCGCTTCTTGCTTTCAGTGGCTGGTTGGAAAAGTTTCTAGACCAGAAGCTTCTGGACCAGAAATAGAAATAATCCTTAGAACATTGGGAGAAACCAGAGAAAGGACATCACAGTCTATATCCAGTTAATTTTTCTCTGTCCTATTGCATTGTTCTCTCTTGCAGAACTTTGAGGTGAAGGCGGATGACCTGGAGCCTATAGTGGAACTGGGACGAGGTGCGTACGGGGTAGTGGAGAAGATGCGACACGTGCCCAGCGGGCAGATCATGGCGGTGAAGGTAGAGTTGACATTCCCCCAACGTTTTCTTTCTGTGGTGTATATGTTTGTCCATCTTAATTGCACATCAGCTCTTTCATAGAAGCAAACAATCTTCAATGGGGTGAAACAGAAAAATTATTTGTAGGGAACAGTATTTCCCTCCAAATGTGTGGGGAAAATGCTTCCTTGGTATGAGTTGCATGTACTGTTTTCTTTTTGAACTAATAAATCCAACGCCCTCCTTTTAATTTTTTATGCAACCGCCATGTCATCATTACACTTAAAAGAATTGACAATACTTCCTTAGTGTCATCTAATACCAGGTCCAAATTAAAATGACCGTGATCGTCTCAAAGTATTTTTTTTTTCCTGTTGGTTGTTCAAATCAGAATCCCAACAAAGTTCACATATTGCATTTGGTCGCTACGTCTCAAAAGTCTCTTTTATTCTATATTCTGTTGCTTTTAGGGAACTGTCCCTGAAAATCAGGAAACCAGAATTAGGGGAAAAAATTGTCTCCCTTTGTGGAAGAAAGGAGGATAAAATACATCTTGAGCGAATCTGCATAGTTTTTAGCTATACAAAGGAATTTAGAATCATTGCATATTTCTTGAGAAGATGCTGGAAAGACCTTGGAGAATGACCATCTCTGATGAATGAACAGATTTGGGCCATTGCTAGGAATGTGGGTGGTCAAATGACTTGGATTCCTTTGTTTTTGGAGAATGGCGATATCTTTCCCTTACCTGGTAGATTTTTCTGTTTGTTCTTTCGCCAGCTCTGCTAAGTAGGCAAAAAAACGTGAAAGCCTAGTGATGTTATATCTTTCCTGTCGTTTATTGGCATAGTCATGTTTCTGTAAAGCCATCTTTGCTGGTGTGACAGATTTCTGTTCTCTCAGAAACACTGGATTAGGAGTGGATGATTTCTTCATTTCTGTTTGATTCCTTCCATTTCTGTAGCTGTGTCAATTCTCTCTCAGTTGCTATTTAGTCCAAATATTCTTATTTGTTCTCAGAGAGGGACTTTTGGCTATTTTTGCAGGACCCTCAAATCAGCCACAAAATATTTAACACTCTTTGCAGTGAACAAACATAATACAGTAAACCAGACTGTTTTTGCAACTTGGAAATACATTCCCAAACATTTGCACACTCTCCAAAATATATTATCAGTTTGCTTCTTACCGGGGATTATTCAGGAAATGAACGAATAGCAGTCTTCCTTATTTTTCATTTGTTACAAATAGCTAATCACTTAGGGCGGGTATTCGAAAGGTTGTTGCTTGAAGTTGTGCGGTGAATTTTTATACTCTTTTCAGGATGGGACTCTTTAAGGTCCCTGCCTTACTCACGGACTTATCCTCAGAGCAGTAACCATACATTTTTTCATGCATTCCCATTCAGCGGATCCGGGCCACAGTAAATAGCCAGGAGCAGAAAAGGCTATTGATGGATTTGGATATTTCCATGAGGACAGTGGACTGTCCTTTTACAGTCACCTTTTATGGCGCACTCTTCCGGGAGGTAGGTGATCCTTCAATTTAAAGTCCAAGGAGAACAATAACTAAAGAAGTTCCTCTGATCACATGAATACCGTGCGCAATCCTGGCACCCTTTCTTGTGAGACACGTCTTCTGTGGAGAGTTTTACGCTTGTGCAATGATGACATGCCCTGGTGTAAAGTTGGCTTGCAATTAGAGTATTTTCAAATATGTTTAGCCTTTTAAAGATGCTGAGGCTCCCCTTCTCCTTTCTGTTTTGGTTTGTCTATTTTGGCAGAACTGTCTATATCAATTATCTCTAGACTGATTTAGATAGAATCCTTAAAATCTGAAATACTCTCGTCTTTTCGCCACTTGATAAGCTTCATGTAGCCTCGTGTACCATGTAGGTTTACACTTACCTCTTTTCTCTCCTCCTGCTTTTACTTTACCATTAGATGGCGTATGATGCTTCGCCTCACTCTTAAAACCAGCCTTTTGATGAACTGGTGCTAGTGCTGTATGCGGGAGGTCAGACATGGAGTAGGCATCTAAACTTATCTCCTACTCTCCTAGAGAGCAGTAGCAGTTAAACCTTGTGTTTCTGGGATTCTATTGCTTGTGGCTATTAGTATTTAGATCCTAGATTTCACCAAGGAGTGGGTGGTCACATGCGAGTTCTGTGTGGCTGTCTGCTGGTTTTCTCTTTGGAGATAATCTTGCTTGTTTATAAATTCCTTTGAGATCTTGAAGGGAAACTGTACATTTCCTCCAAAAACTCAAGCAAGAAATAGGCAGTTCTTCCTGACAGCTGTTAACTGTTTCCTCTGTTTCTCTTTTCCATCCTCGCTAACAATCTCTGAACCAATTGATCTCCAGGGTGATGTCTGGATCTGCATGGAGCTCATGGATACGTCGCTAGATAAATTCTACAAACAAGTGATTGATAAAGGCCAAACAATTCCAGAAGACATCTTAGGGAAAATAGCCGTTTCGGTGAGTACATCATGGACCCTACTACAAAAAGAGTCTGAGAAGTCTGGGTCTTATGTGTCATTGTACCCCCAGTATGAGGAAACACTACCTGGACCATAGCTCCCATCTGCTACATGTCTCTTGAATGCGTGAGTGCATCTGTGGATTGATAAGTGAATGCTTTTCTTTTTTGAGCCTTATGTAGAAGATGCTACTCCTGACTTGGTTTTTGGTAAACTCAGTTAAAGTGCCTCAAGGCAGCGCATTCATCTGCTTTGACCACATCCCTGGTGTCTATATTCTGATATTAGTTTATTTTGATTTTAAGTTGTAGATTTTTAAATGTTTTCTTAGGACTAACAGGCATAGAAAGAAGCAGAAGAAAATGAAATGAAATGAAGGGCTGCACCCTTTATGGCTACTGAGGCTCAGGAGAGTGGAGAGAAAAAAATGCTGGAGGCCAAATGAAAAACAAGATATATGCCTGAGACTTCTCTTTGCTGTAAGATAGAATCCTCTCTAGTGGGCGGAGCCCAATTTATGTAACTTCCTATGTATTTTCCTGGATAGGACCACCACTATTTGAGGAAATACTTCACCCTGTGACCTTAAGTCAGGGATAATAAACCTGGATATGCTTAGCATTCAATTTCTTTCCAGTGATGGGGGAAATAAATCTATCTTGTGTTTCTCTTGCAGATTGTAAAAGCATTAGAACATTTACACAGTAAACTCTCTGTCATTCATCGAGGTGAGCATCCGTGCAGCTGCCTTGGCTGTTCCTTTTGTAAAGTTCATTTCTTTTACCTGAGTTTTGGTTTTTTTTTTCCTCTAATGGATGGAAGTGAAATTGAGTCAGCCAAGAGAACTGAGGAGTTTTCCTTTGGGACTGGATAGCAAATCACATCAGTAGCTGTTCTTTATTTTGTGTGAGGACATCAGAAGACATGGGCTTTATATTACACCTAAATTGAATATAAAATGCCTGTTACCAAGCAGAACTGTGGGAGTACCCCACTGAGAATTTTAGAGAATAGGATAAAAATTCATCTAGTGTTGGGCATCACCTGGGAGCTTGTTAGAAAAGTAGAATCATGGGTCCCAAAATCAATTGAATAAGAATCTGCATTTAACAGGATTCCCAAGTAATTCTTGCACATTAAAGTGTGAAAAGTTCTGGTATAAAGCACAGCCCTTTCAGACAGCAGGAGGCAGGATAAGATGAAAAAATTGGTAGATTTATCCATCCATTCATCCATCCATTTATCTTTTATAATCGTTTTTCCAGCATTTATACAATACTGTATTTATACAGCACTCTAGTAGAATCCCTGAGGGGCATCTAAGAAGAAAACATGTATTCTTATTAAAATTATACGTTATTCTTAATAGGGAAGTAAGATGATACAACAAACATGGGGGAAAAAAACCAGATTAGAAATACGAAAGTACCAAAAATGGAAGTAGTATAGGTAGTCTATAAAACAAGGAAATGGTTAGCACTGGTGACTATAGTCAAGGAAACTTCTTGGAAGAGATGTGCTCAACCAGGTCTTTGGGAAAATTCATGGAAAGTATTGGCAGCTAATAAGGCATTGTGATTTGGTAATTCTTATGCTCTCTGAGCCTGAAAAGAATGTAAAATGCCTCAAACACTGTGCCTATTATGATTGTTATTATTGTTATTAATTGTTATTATTAGAAATTGGAAAAATGGGAAGGAAGAAGGGGAGGAGAAGAAAGTGGGAAGGAATCCACATAGGAAGATAAATGTGGATTACCCACAAATGTGAAGCTGATTTTTAAGAGTTTATTTCAAAATTATGGAATATTTCATTCATATTAGAGGATGTATATAAAGTATAAAAAATAATAAAGTGAAAATTTGTATATATGCCATTCAGTTTAAGGGAAAATTATAAAGGATAATTTTGATAGTTTTAGAATTACTTATTTCTTCTGATTACATGTCCTTTGTGAAAAAAATTAACTTAATTTCTAATTCCATTATCCAAAGATAACAATGGTTCATCTACTTGGGGTGTGGGTAGGAGTGTTGTATCTTTCAAGTCTGAAGCATTCACTTAAGAACTGTTCAGTAATACTCCTTCATCCACATGTATATTCTGTGATGAGCCTCATGGTCTGGAATATTTGAGTTTATGATGAGTTACCCTATGTGACCTCTGACATACCTCTTGTAGAAGCTTCAATTAAAATTGGTGGCTTTGATTGTATTTGTTGTACTGTTATGTCATAGTCTGCCTTTTCATTTCACGATCTATTACTGCTACACTAAATGTGCAATAGATCATTATGAACTGGACTTTTAAAAATTTATTTTATTTTCATAAGAACATTTAACATGCGATCTACCCCCATAATGAATTTTTACATGTATGATATAGTATTGTTCATTGTAGGCTTAATGTTGCACAGAACATCTCTGGAACAGATTCATCTTGCATAATAGAGACTATGCCCGTAGAACTGGGCATTTGATTCAGTAATAATTTTTTAAGTTCTTACTACAGTCACGCGACGCATAACAACATTTTGGTCAACAATGGGCTGCATATACAATAGTGGTCCTATAAGATTAGTACCATACAGCCTAGATGTGCAGTAGGCTATACCATCTAGGTTTGTGTAAGTACACTCTATGATGTTCAACAATGATGAAGTCACCTAATGACACATTTCTCAGAACATATCCCTGTTGTTAAGTGATGTATGACTGTATATGTATGGAGGCAATGAAGATGACAAATTAAATAGAGGAGACAGTCCTTTCCATTAATGGGTTCACAATCCGACGTGAAAGACAGAACATGAAATAGAAAATCAAGTTGAAAGCAATAAGAGGTACGTAACTGTGAGCCAAGGATGGTAGTTACTTTCATATTGGGCCTTGTGGGGAAAGGAAGGTGAAGGAGAAATGGAGATAACAGGCCCTCTGGTGGTAGAGAAATGAATCTTCAAAGCAGGCTGGGATAATGGGCTCCTTGTTGTTCTTGCTTTCAGACGTCAAGCCTTCCAACGTGCTGATCAATACTCTGGGCCAAGTGAAGATGTGTGATTTTGGAATCAGTGGCTACCTTGTAGACTCTGTTGCTAAAACCATTGATGCAGGATGCAAACCATACATGGCTGTAAGTACAGCAGCTGGGGCTGGCATCTGAGAATGCAATTGCTGGCAAACCATCCCAGAAAATAGGAAATGCACAGCCACAGAGGGAAAATTGAAATGTGCCTAAGATGCAAGAAATATTCTGTATCTTCTTTTTTCTTACATATTTCCTGTCTGAAATCCTTAGTCACTTGCTTCATGTATATTATTTTTAAAAAATCAAGTAAAGAGATATATTATTTGAAGACATGTAGGTAATACCTACAGCCCGCACAGTTTTCCACACTGAGTTGCAGGGGAGTGTTACCTTGTTTGTTGAGGGCAGAACAGTCGATAGAATTTAAATTACCCAAACAGTTAGGTTAGTCCTGAGAGAACCTCACGGCTGTGAAGCTTCTTTGCTGTTAGCAGAGATGTTGGGACTCTCTTCAACTTAGGCAATTTCACTGTATTCTCTTTGGAAATGAACTCATGCTTGGAATTAAAAAGCTTCCTGTCCACGTTTAGCTAAAAGTTATTTAGGTCTGTTAACACCAGACAGTAGCCCAAAGTCTTGTTGATTCTTTTTACTGAGTTCTGGACTGTTGGGGTTTTAAACAAGGAAAATTCTAGGCTGGCAAAGTAGCTTTATAGCGTACATCTTGTTCCTTCTTAAGGCAAAATTGAAACTAGTTTTGAATTGTGAGGGGACTTTGATCCATTACTGTGGCCAAGCAAAGACTAGTGCAGAATGAGGAAAGTCCCTTGGAGATGTTGATCCTCACTGTAGATACTGAGTCTTCTTGGCCTGGGAGGCGTGTTAACAACTTAAAACAACTTACTTGGCAGCTGGTGCCACCCCCACCCCTAGAGACTTATTGAGCTAAGAATGCCATCTCAGTTGTCTTTTTCTGTCTCCTTTCCAGCCTGAAAGAATAAACCCCGAGCTCAACCAGAAGGGATACAGTGTGAAGTCTGACATCTGGAGTCTCGGCATCACAATGGTAGCGTGTGACTGAGGTTCTTGGCATGAAGCCAAAGTGGGGTGCACTTTGAGACCAAGAGGCAAATGCCCTAAATGCTGGTCATCCTCTCCTGCCTGTGATAGCAGGAGGTTTTGAGTGACAATTGTTTGCAGTGTGGTGTAGCAAAGATACTGACCTGGGATTGGGCAAATCCAGTTTTTCTCTTTATTCTACCTCTACCTAGTTGTATGCCCTTGAGTAACTGATGGAGTCAGATAGACTGTCTTACTGTCCTCATCTGTAAAATGAGAGGGTCTGACTATAGTTCCTGATAGTTTTCCTTATAGTTTAAAATTAAATTATTCTAATCAAGGTGTGAAGAAACTTAAGCTACTCAAAGAGTGCAAATATGCGTGGACCCTGATAGAGGCATGTTATCCAGGAGATAGGCTGCGCTTCCCAGAATGTGGTCGTGTTGGAAGTCTTGGCCGTTGAGGTCAGGTTGAGCCAAAGACATGATAACAAAGAGGCTAATTTCCTTAGGCACAGCCCTAAAGTTATACAATTAGTCCCTTCTTCGTAACTTTGGGGATCATAAACTTTCCGTCCATCACCAAGGTCTGGAATTGTCCACTGTGGTCCTGGCTCCTTCCCAGCACAGCAGCTGATTAAATCCCATGAGTTATTTCACATCCCTTCCCAGAATACATGTGATCTTGTAATGGCAAAGTGGCATTACTCACATCCAAAAAAAGATCAGTCATTTGGTCCGAGGTGTGTTTTTTTTTTCTATTCCAGCAAGAGACCTGCAGATGGCAGCAGATGTACATCTCTGTAAAATCTTAGGGTGAGACTTAACTTTTCAGACCAAACATCTGAAAACCTGGTTGCTTTACATCCTGCAGTTTCATACTGCTGGCTTACAATTTTATTGTGTGACGATGGGTTTTAGTGAGGACCCACTTTTAAATAGGCTTAAATGGCTGTCTCTACTAAGATAGTGTTTGAAAATCCCTAACACTAGGAACTGGGGGGCCAATCGCTAGAGAACATATTATTAGTTTATTTGCCCCCCCAATTTTACTTGAACTTCTGCTTTGTATTTCTCTCTGGTTCTCCTGGAACAAAACACAGTAGATTCCCTAATCTAGTAGCCCTATTTAAACTCTTCTCTCCTTGTTTTCCTCTCCTTTCTAGATTGAGTTGGCCATCCTTCGGTTTCCTTATGATTCGTGGGGAACGCCTTTTCAGCAGCTCAAACAGGTGGTAGAGGAGCCATCACCGCAACTCCCGGCAGACAAGTTCTCCGAAGAGTTTGTTGACTTTACCTCGCAGTGGTAAGAGAGCCTCATCTCCCAGTTGCCAGTGTTAAGGAGGAAGAGGAGTTCTCATGAATTTCCTCCGTCGGTTTTAATCCATTGTGCATACATTCATTCCAAAAGCATTTGTGGAGTGTGCCCTTGATGCTGGAGAAACAAAGATGCCTCTCTCCCAGTCCCTGCCCTCATGGAGCTCAAAGTCAAGTAGGGGAGTCTCCTCGATCAATAATTACAGTACAGTATGGCAAGCCCAGTGATGGAGATATGCGTGGGGTATTGGGGAAGCTCAGAGGGAAACCATTAGGATAAATTTTCTGGAGGGGGTGAATCCCGAGCTGAGACCATATGAAGTATTTTCCAAGTGAAAGGGAGGTAGGGGAGGGAAAGGTATTCCAAGCAGGAGAAACATCGTGCATTGTGTCACAGAAGTGAGAAACTCCTTTATGAGAGCAACAATTAATTTGATGTTGGTTAGAGCACAAAGAAAAGGTGGTAGGATCCGCCAGAAGATTAGGGATGTGGAATAGATAAGATGCAAAGAATTACCTTGGAGTGGAACACAGTAGGTAGGTTGAGAGTGTTACTTAGTTACCTAGAAGTCTTGCAAAGCAGTTCTAGTGTTTTGTAGGCTGCCTCCCATGCAACTCTTGCTAACTGTGGTTATCATTGTGCGGGTACAATGGACAGTATTGGAGGTCTGAGAAGGGAATCTAAAGAAAGTTGGAGTGGAAGGATGGAAGAACTCATGGTAATGCTGTCACTTTTGTTTTCATGGCAATTCCCGGTGGATTCGAGGAAAGTATGGGAGGGGATAGTTTTCTGTAGAAAATCTGGTGATTTCTGTCTGTGTAGCAACCCTGAGGCTTAGCATAACTTGATACTAATGACCATGGCAAGTGCTGCTGGAAGAGGATGCCAAAAAAGAAAGCATAGAATGGAACCAACTTAGTTTATTTGGGCAGGAGCACATGAGAAATAGGAGGAAGGGGAATCAGATGGTGACAAGTCCAGCTGTGACTCTTGGAGAGGAGCAGTTCTTGCCCAGAGAGGCCACTTGCTGCTGAGGAAGGGGTGGACCTCTGAAGACTGACAGTGCAGCTCCCTCAAGGTTATCATTTCTTGGCCTCCATGCTCTTTGGAAGAACTGTTCTGAATGCAGCTTTTATTGGGAAACGTGTTAAGACAAAGCAATTGTCTGTTGCTTGTGAAACTAAGGCCTCTTGGAGCTTTTGTTAAGGCTAGCCCCCATGTCACTTCTGGGCCGTTTCCCTAATGATATATGAAGATGGCCTACTATTATGTGTTTTTGTTTTAGTTTTGGTTGAATGGCCAAAGAGGGGCTGGAGCACTGGGCAGTATGTTGTTGGGTGATTCTTAATATGTACTTTCTCTGGGCTACTGTGTCCTCCTATCTGCTTTCCTGGGTGAGTGTGCTGGATGGTGGTACCCCAGCCAGGTCGAGATGGGCTCCTGATTTTGCCTTCTGGATTCAAGAACTTGGGAGTTTTTTTGTTTTTTGGTTTTTTCCTTATGCTCAAAGGTTTAAAGGCCACATAGGAAAGGGAATGAGTGGTGGTAATGGGGAAGGATCGTATCTAGGAAGTCTTTTCAAACTCTCCTCTCCATAAGCTCTTTCCTACCTGTCCCCTTTTCCCAAGATGCTGGATACTTCAGAAAACTTTGGTAAGAGCAAGGCTGGTATGAAAAGTTTAAGAAAGCTGAGCCGCCTGTTGGGAGTCACTAGATTAATCCAGTAGTTCTCAACTCTGACTGCTCCTTTATAAAACTCGAGAGAGCTTTCACATGTGCTGTCACCTGAGCCTCACCCTCAGAGATTCTGATTTAATTGATCTGGTGAAGGTCCTGAGTGTCAATATTTTTCAAATGTTTTCAAATCATTCTACTGTATAGCTGGGGTGAGAACCCCTAATTTAGACCTATGATCTTGTGGACCCGCTATCAACTGCTTCCTGTTCAAAAGCTGCTTCTCTTCTATAATTTATTTTTAAAAAAATCATTCAATTACTTTATTTTTCTTTCACCAAAGTATTTTTTTCCCTTACTGAGAATTTCCCCTAAAGAATCAGAGTGTTAAAGCTTTTTATAGATATTTAAAAAATGAAAATCTTGAAAAATAAATGCTTTCTAATTTTAATGTATGCACACATATATGGAAATTCCAGACACTTGTATTATTGCTCTTTTATAGCGACCACCCTGTGCCTACCCTCACCCCCAGAAAACTCCTGGGATCTTCATGACCACCCCTCTGAGGTCTACATTCCCCTCTTGTTTTCTCTTAATTTTAGTTCCAGCTACTATCGTTCATTCATTTAAAAATTTTGAGCCATAGACATTTTCCAGCTTTTCTGGAACCATTAATTAGTTTAATTCTGTTAATTCTGTGTCATTTCATTGGCACTCAAGTCAGCCAGTCTGGCTCGCTTATGGGGCTTACTGAAAAAATAATAATCATAGAAACAAAACCCAAATCACTTTAAATTGAAGTCGTCAAAGAATAAATTCTTCCTCAACCTTCTAGTGTTGTAGCTCCTGTAGAATCTGATACTTAAGAATATCAATTGTGTAAAATAGTGAGTCATTTTTGTTGGTCTGAGAATTGGGAAATAGAAAAGGAGCGTTCATTCTGAATTTTATGAGCATTCTTACTTCTCCTCAGTCGGGTTTTTTAAGAGTACAGGCTCTCCTGTTTTAGACACCAAGTCAATAGTTTTTTGCCTACCATAAATCACCAGTGGATTTTCTTTAGTACTCCAGAGTATGAACATTATTTTGAAGTCAACTGAGTTGGAAAAGTTGTCTAGAAAAAGAGTTGTCAGGAAGTGGTGCTGATTTTTGTTAGATTTTATGAATAGCTTAGATCTTTGTAGAAGCAATTTTATTTTTCATATGTATTAGCGTACAGATACAGACTTGCCCCCAGTAGCAGTGTAGTTACTTCGCTTGTTTTCTGACTGACAGTTTGAAGTTTGATCTGGAGCTGGGTGGACAGAAAGGAGACATCACTATTACCCAAGAACACTTCTTCTATTTCTTGATGAAGAGAAGGATGTAGCCTATGGATATAACTCCCTTTTATAGCTGTGCCTCCATTTTCCTATGTTTAAAGCTATATTTTTGAGACATGTTTTCATAAAAGGACACTTTTTTGGGAGACCTTCCTGTGCTTTTTGTATTTTTATGACATAGTCAGGCTATGATCCTTCAAAACGTCTTAAAAAGCCCCAACTCTTTGTGGTAAGTGGGGAAAGGGGACTGTAGATTTGGAAAGTGAAAAATTTAACCTCAAATTTCGAGACAGATACATCTGTGTTTTTATCTCCTACATTTGCCTTTGGGCTAAATGTAGAACTAGAAGAAAAAGGGGCCGTTCTCGACCTTTCATGGGATGCATCCTACCAAAGCATGTGGTGACATCGCAGCGCTGCTGCAAACTGTACACCTTCATCCAGGGAGTCAACTTGGTAGCCACTCCCCTCTGATCGCTGCTTGTCCCTTGACAGTGAATCGTGGTTTGTGGGGTGGAGTAGAGAGCACTTATAGGCTATCACTGTCACACCCGAGGTCAGATGTAGAGCACAGAGCTCCAGGTGCTATCTTTCTCTTGCAGTAGCGTGAGAAAAACATTATCCTCAGGGTGGGAGAGTGGCGGGGAAGAAAGTTAAGGTATTTATTCCTTATGAACTTGAACAAAACAATCCAATGATTTCTTACAAACCCTTCCTTTCTGTACTTATTTTGAAACAGGACTACTGAAGGACATTTTCTTCCTCTTCCTCTACGCGTGGCATTCTTATCATAGGGGTTTTAAAGAGTTCTTGGAGTGGATGATGCGGAGCATATGGGTCTTGTTTGAGGATTCATAGCAGAGAAGTCTGACAGAAAGACCTTACATTCTAGGCCTACAGAAAGGTTAACAAATGAGTTTCTCAAAAAATGGAATCTTAACAGGCTAACATTTTTCACCGTAACCTCATCCTACAGGTTGGGGGACTGAAGGAAGTCACTGAGTGCCAAAGCAGCTCGACTTCCTTTTTGCTTTTCCTTTAGGCCTGTTTAAGAGGCTCAGTGCTCAGCTGACCAGCCTGATGGCATGTTGGAGTGTGTTGGAGGCCCACCCAGACACACTGATACTGTCTGACTCAGAGGAACTAGTGTAAAACGGAGACAAGCAAATATAGTTCCCAGCTTGTTCAGGAAGGACAGTAAAGAGTCACTGGATATTTATTTAGCTTATGACAAATGTATGGCTTGAGAGGCGCAATGTATTTTTATTCCGTGGATGCACCAAATAGGGCTTCTTGGAAACGATCAGCTAGAATTCAAATAGGCAGAAATCCTCTGGTCAGCATAAACTTCAAGCTAGCAATTCTTAAGACAGCGTGAAGCTGGTTTTTAGTGTCAGCTACGGTCAGGAGCGTGTGTTGTGGCATTTGGAAGAGGAATTAGGGCAGTTAGCTAATTGCACGCTTGAAAATGACAAGCCACTTGAAAATTCAAAAGTCTGACTCAAATCCAAAAAGAAATTGGTGTAGCTTTGAACTCCACAGTTGTTATTTTATACTGGATTTCAAGCACTTCCTATTAAACATGGAAAATTTGCTTTTTCCCCTAACCTTATCCTGAGTATTTTGCTATTCTTAGCCCATGTTTTGAAGTGTTCTTGATTTAAAAGATGGAGAGAATGGGTTATATCAGTTATATTAATTCAATAAACAGCCTTGGTTTGCTGTGTAAGTGTTTTCCATCAATACTCTGCAGTAGTGCTTGTGGTAAATTTTGAGCTTTCCGATCTGGGGCCATAAATCAAGAAATTGCCTCTTGGTTGGCCATTTCTGAGATTTCAGGAATCCTTAACACTTTGTGATGGATCAAGGTGGCGTACTTTCCCTACGTTTTCTTTATACAGATAAAAAAAAAATTCAGGAGAAATTTTCATAAACTCTTCCAGAAGTGAAGAGATAAGACATCCTGACTTCAAATGACCTCTCCTTAATAAATAGAAACATTGAAGTTCTTCAACCTGATGAGAAGAGTCTTATTTCAGTATCTACTAAATAGAAGGTCAAAAACCAACAATATCACAGAGATCTCTGGTTAGTAAAAGAGGCCATTGTTTTAACATTTGAGAAACAAGCTTTTCTTCCTAACTCTCATTTCTTTGATTCCGTTGTTGACCAATGAAAGCTGGTAATGGAAAGGTGGATCTTGGTCCTCAAGGAGAATATTTCAGAGTCAATTTGAAGTTAGGGTCTGATGACTGACTAACGTTCTGTCTGAATAGAGACACCTGAAATCAACCGCTTGAATATGGGATGTGGATTTAATGTTGCTTTTGTGTTTTTCATGGTTAATTTTAGCACGTTGAATTGTTCAGATTATAGAGAAGACTTTCTGGGTTTTGATTTGCTTTGAATAATAGGCGGAAATTCAGGGTTTTTGTACATTAGCTTGTTTGTTTTTTCACCAGGGTGTGTGTGCAAGTCAGCAATGCTCCTGGGATCACATTTCTTCTCCTGTGTTTCCTTCTAGGTGAACTAGCTCTTGAGCTTAGAAAAAAAAAAAACTTTTGCTTGTTGGGGCGGAGGTAGGGAGGGGTAGTAGTGGTGAGAATGTGCCCAAATGACAGATGAACCAGCTGGAGATGCTTCTAAGTGAATTTCATCTCAGAGAAGGGAATAGAAGGTAGCGATAAGGAGGAATACCCTAATATGCATTGCCGAAGGTCTCTCAACCTGAGCACTAATGACATTTTGGACTGGATCATTTTTTGTTGTGGGGAACTGTCCTGTGCATTGTAGGATGTTTAGCAACATCCCTGGCCTCTACCTATTAGATGCCAGTATCACCCCCCACGACCAGTTGTGTCAACCAAAAATGCCTCTAGACATTGCCGAATATCCCCTGGAGGGCAAAATCACCTGCAGTTGAGATTTGCCAGTGGAGCCCTAGAAAATCTCAGGGTCTAGATACACCCATAGTCATAAGTGGGAGTTATGAGAGTCATTCCTTCACTCAGGCACCCCCCCCCCCATATCAATCCGACTCTGACATTGATAATTCCTCTTTCTAATACGCTCTTATTTTTATCCTCAGTTGAGATGAAACTTTCTCTCATAGGTTGTCTGGTCACTGAGGTCACTAGGTCCTAGATCTGCCCTCAGTTCCAGGTTGAAACTTCTCTCCTCACATCTACCTGTACCCTGTCTCAGGTTCCCTGGCTTCTACCCGCAGCATTGCCTGGAATAAACTGGTAGGCTGCTTTAAGTTGTTTTCTAAAGCTTCCTCTTTTTTGTTTTTCTTCATTTCCTTTTTTTTTTTAAACCACAGTTTCTCAAAGCGTCTCAACTACTTCACTCTGTTATGGTTCTGTCCCTTGCCCTCCTCATTATTATTATTAGCCTATGTGGGTGGAATACAGCTCATGTCACACATACTAGGTCTCATTGGCTCAAAATGATGCATTAACGCAAATCCCAGCAACCTAATAATCAGCCACATTTTAGTTCCTTCAACGCCAGGCAAAGTTCCTTTCCATTCATGTATGATTTTGTGGCCCAGTTGGCAGAGGAGTCTGTAGGTTGCCTTGCAAATCATAGTTTTTGAAATCATCCTTTTCTCCATTCTGTAACCTGGGATTCCAACTCCAAATAACTTGCTTCTTTTCTTTTTTCCATTTTAAGGCTGTTGGTGGGTGAATATAGGGGTGGGATGAGGATGGGGTGAGGGGTTGGTCTCTTCATATTGTGATTTTATTACTGTTGCTTCTGGTATCAAATGTTATTAAAATGTCTGTGCCAACCGGGAGCTGCTTGACAGCAGTGTGTGGTCACAAAGTATTTCTAAGAAGAGTAGCCCAGTCACTGGCTGAGTGGGCTTTCTCTTTCATCAGCTGAGAGATAGTAAACAAGTAGTGTTACCTTAGCCATTTTAGGGGTATGTTGCTTCTCTCTCAGGCAGCTTTGGTTAGGAATATATAAAAGCGAATTATATATATTCACGGAAGCCAGAAGCAAGAAGAACCAGGAAGATAGTGAATAGATATCAAATGTAATATAAGAAGCACCTGCTAATTTCTTTGCCGGTTGGGGTGGAGTAAGAGCTGTCTTGAAGGAAAGTAGATATGTATTTTGAAATATACTGGCTGTAGATCAGAAAAGCTAGTTTATACGTCATTGGTAGAGTATCAAAAGGAAAGTAAACACACACACACAAACACACAACACACACCCCTATTGTTCCCATTAAGGTACACCCAGAGTGATTTAAAACACAGTTTGTAAGTTTAGCAGTAGAGGAAAGTCAAGATAGGAGATTTATGTTTTCAGTACATTTTTAAAGGTGGTAATGTTTAGTCTTCTACAGGTTCTGAAATCCTAGTCTAGTGAAAATGCAGATGGTTTCTAGATTTTAATGTGATCAATTTTTTTTCTTTAAGCTTGAAGAAGAATTCCAAAGAACGGCCAACATATCCAGAGCTTATGGTAAGTATAGTTAGCAGTGTCCAAACGAAGCTGGTACAGGAAAAGTGGCTGAGACCTAAATTATGATCAAACAACCATGTTGGAAGAGATGATTCGTTGAGACATTGGTAACTGGAATTGAACTCAAGAAAAAAGGAGCTGAGTCCTTCATTTGTCTGATATCCTTCTTTAGCATAACCTGGAGCATGTCTCCAGTCTTAGCACTTTTTTACATGATGATAAACCTATCATCATATAGACCAAATTATGTATACAATTTATATTTTCAAATTTTAAAGATACGAGAAGTCACAAATTAATATAAAATGAAGGAAAGCATGATTTAAAGAATTTCAGTAATGAGAGAAACTAAAGTGCTGTGTGACTGAACAATTTTTGGTAAAATATTTAGGATTAATTAGAATGAATCTCCTTTTGGTGAGTGTTTAGGGAAGAAAGAATCACTTTGTTTTCTCCTGGTTTTCACTTTAGTGGAAAAAGTAAGGCAAAGCCTTATTAATTTGAATTATACTACCTTGGCATTCACGGTTTATCAATTGCACTATCTATGAAAAAAGAGTGAAACTAGGACCTCAGAGTTGTTGTTTTAAAATAGTTTCTCTTAAGTTGTGGTAACTATAATTCTACGCTAATTATAAATGATCCTTTAATAGAAATGGCAGGGACCTTGACTTGGCAGTCCTTATCTAAGTATATGTTGAATGTGGGAGAAACACATTTTCTTTGGAAATATTATAAAATTCATACTATTTACTAATTTATGTTAACCCTTCCCTAGATTTGTTTCAATTATTAACATTTTAATTTTAGCAAGGGAAGGAAGAATTCTGTTCAGGCACTATTCCAAAAGAGATAAGAGCGAACGTGGACACCGTTTCTTATTGGAGCGCAGTTACTCAGCAGGCGTTAAATGCTTGTACCTATCCCATCCCACCACAAGCAGTGCTCAGTCTCCAGGACTAAATCAGGGCGGCTGATCTAAGTACAGGTTCCTGATATCCCTTAACAAATGATGTGGTGAGGTGGCTCTAACATGGAATTGTTGGTCAGTTGTATATCTTCTTCGGAAGAGTGTCTATTCAGGTCCTTTGCTCATTTTTTAATTGTATTATTATTTTTATTGCTAATGTGTTGTATGAGTTCTTTATATATTTTGGATATTAATTCCTTATCAGATATGTGGTTTGCAAATATTTTTCCCATTCGGTAGGTTGCCATTTCATTTTGTTGATTGTTTCTTTTGCTGTGCAGAGCTTTTTCGTTTGATTAGTCCCATTTGTTGATTTTTGCCAAGAAGTACTTGAAAAGGTTCTCACCATCACTAATCATAAGGAAAATACAAATCAGAACCACAATGAGAAATCACCTCACACCTTTTAGAATGGCTATTATCAGAAGACAAAGATAACAAATGCTAGCGGTGATGTACAGAAAAGGGAACCCTTGTGTACTGTTGGTGGGAATGTAAACTGGTGCAGCCACTATGGAAAACAGTATGAAGGTTCCTCAAAAAATTAAAAATAGAACTACCTTATGATGTAGCAATTCCACTTCTGGGTATATATCTGAAGGAAATGAAATCACTATCTCGAAGAGATATCTGCGTCCCCATGTTCATTGCAGCATTGTTTACAATAGCCAAGACGTGGAAACAACCTAAATGTCTGTTGATGGATGAATGGGTAAAGAAAATGTGGTGTATATATACACAGTGGAATATTATTCAGTCATAAAAATGAAGGAAATCCTGCCATTTGCAGCAATATGGACAAATCTTGAAGTTATTATGCTAACCGAACTAAGTTAAACAGAGAAAAACAAATACTTATGATTTCACTTGTATATGGTGTCTAAACAAATTGAACTCATAGAAACAGAGAGTGGATTGATGGTTGCCAGAGATGAGAGGAGTGAGGAAAATATGTCAAGGTGGTCATAGGCTACAAACTTCCAGTTGTAAGATGATGAAGTCCTGGGATGTAACGTACAGTGTGGTGATACTGTACTGTGTACTTAAAAGTTACTAGAAGAGTAGATCTTTTAAAAAGTTCTCACCACACACACACACAAAAGGTAATTATGTGAATTGGTGGATACCTTGACTAACCTTATTATGGTAATCATTTTGTAATATATAAGTATCAAATGATCACATTATACACTTAAACTTAACAATGTTAAATGTCAGTTATATCTGAATAAAGATGGGGAAAAAAAAAAAGAAGAAAATGTCACTTGGAGATGTTAAGCCAGGGAGTTAATAGAAAGCTGATCTAGGCGATTGGTGATAGTCACAACCAGTTACATGGATTTTCACTTCTCTTGGTTGAGCTTTGACTTAAGTCTGAACCATTCTCCAGTTGGATGGCCATAAAAGGATGCTGGGAAGAGTTTGAGAAGAGACAGGGCAGTCTCCTTGGGCCTCCAGTGTTCTCTTTAAAAAGGCAGCCCCGGGGACTCAGCATTCTATCAGCTTTATTCAGCTAAGACACACAGTGGAGGGAGAAAAGAAGAGAAGTCATGCTTGAGGAAATCTTAGCATACTGCATGTTTGGGTTGAATATTTCCTCCCTGATTATATGTATATATGTATATATTTCTGTGTGTGTGTATGAGGAAGATTGGTGCTGAGCTAACATCTGTTGCCAATCTTCCTCTTTTTGCTTGAGGAAGATTGTCCCTGAGCTAACTTCTGTGCCAGTCTTCCTCTATTTTGTCTGTAGGACTCTGCCACAGTGTGGCTTGATGAGCGGTGTGTAGGTCAGCCTCTGGGATCCGAGCAACGAACCCTGGGCCACTGAAGTGGAGCACACGAACTTAACCACTGCGCCACCGGGCTGGCCCCCCTGATTATGTTTCTAATAGCCAGTCAGGGGCCTTTTCAGTTCTGGCTACCCTTTTTTGGTATGTTTTTGCAACCCTGAGAGCATTTTAAAATTAATTTCACATCAAGTGCCTTAGATATAGAGTGATTCCTGTGGGGCCCTATGGCGCCTGTACTCCTATTTTAAAGTTGCCTTGTTTGTCAGTATTTTTGGATAAAAGAAGAACATTTCTCTATATCTCTGGCTATTTGAAATGGAGAACATTTTGTTTTCCTTCCAAGTGACCTCTTATCAGAGGTTTCACTGGAACACACTTGAGAAAAAATGCTGAGTTCTAGCTTAATACACATTGGCAGCTGGTGTTGAATTCTAGCTTTCCAATATATCCTAACACTGTGGGCTTTTATGGCATACATATTAATGTTGTAAGGTCCCATGGGACCTTTTTATGGCATTAGTCTTTGTGGTACTGGAAATGGACTTGCCTTTTAAGGCCCATAACTACTCCCTGCTTTCCTGTGCAATTGAGGTTTTTAAATGGAAAATCTGAGTCCAAACTCTTTGACTTCAGCATTGGGAAAACATGCTGAGAGGCTATTGTTTAGATGGTAGGAGTTGGTGAAGACGTAGAAAGGGGGAAAAAAGCCTGTTTTCAGGTGAAGGACAGTATAATTAAGGCCCCACCCTAGACATGTACCTCTTATAGAAATCCCAAGTGTTTTCCTCCCAAACTTGCATTGAGAGATGCACATGCTTTAAGATCATCTCGTTTACTTGTTTGCTCAAACTTCCACTGGGGGACATGACTCAGTAAGATTTGTTCTTCTAGAGTAGGGACCAGCCAACTTGTTCTGTGAAGGCTTAGATAGTAAACATTTAAGGCTTTGTGGGCTCTCACAGCTACTTAGCTCTGTTGTGTTAGCATGAAAGCAGCCATGTTCAGTATGTAAACCAATGGCTGTGGCTGTGTTCCAATAAAACTTTATTTCAAAAACAGTCAGTGGGCTGGATTTGGCGCCAGGACCATCATTGATTAACCCCTGTCCCAGATAGTAACCACCAGAAATGATAACCAGGTGATTCAAGTGATGGCCCAGTGAGGCGATTATGTTCTCCAAATATCCTGGGAAGTTCTAGATTGAATCGCAGTGTTAAGCAAGGATGACTGAAAACCATAGAAAACCATAGTCTTGAGGGATGAGGTGTTGTGCGTGGGATATGGAGACCATTAGTAATTGTAGCTTGCTGCCCAGTGCTTCTGGCAGTATGTTCAGGGATCTCCATGTCTTCTCCAGGCACAGCTGGTGGTAAAGTCCTCCCTTCGTGTACCTGGCTCCTTTTTTGAGAAACCTAGCCTGGGACCATGGTCTGGGGATCATTCCATGGTGCCTCATTTGCTCCTCTCCTGGTTGCTGTCCTTGCTATTCTTAGTCCATTGCTTATAGGAGGGACTGGGTTCCCTCCCAACCTTTTGCAGCCTCAAAACCCACACAAGAAGGCGAGTCACACTTTCCATTTTGACAGGCCTGCCTGTTTTCCCCTCCCCTTGCCCTCTAGCTCTCTCTGCCTGAGAATAAACTGAAAGATGCCTGAGGATTTTTTTTTTTTTTTTGGTCAAGGACTTCAGGTCAGGTTATTGAATTCATTCACAGACTCAGGCTATATCCACTGAGCTAATAGCCACCAGGAGAACCAGAGGCAAGATGGGGCTGGCAGGCATTGGAAGCAGTCACTGAGACAGTCTGAGGTTTGACGTGTCTTGTTTTGATAGTAAAAGCTTTTAAGTACATTAAAAGATCTCCAAATGTCAAGAGGATGTGGGAAAGCTAATAAGCATGATGGTGAAGCACTTAGTAAGTGTGCTAAGTGGTTAGTAATCAAAAGTAATGCTGTTATTTATTTGTCCAAAGATCTCAGGATGAAGGACCTGGCATCTAGAGCTTCAGTTAATACAGTGGGTGTGAGGCTCTGAGCCAACACTCAACCTGTATCTTCAGATGGGGAAAAGCAGGAAACCTCTTTTCCATTTTCTGAATCATGATAGTTAACAGTGACCACCTACCTTCTTTTGGGTTTTATTTCTTTGTTCCCTTCCCATTTGCATTGTTTCCTAAAACTTCCTTGGGTGGGCATTCAGTTCCCCACAGAGCTGACTCATCCAGCCCTTTGCTGTCAGGTTTAAAACAAATAGAAAACCTACAGCTAGACAACATGAAGGTTGTAAATTAAAATCCCAAAGTCAGGGGAAACAGAGTGAGTCATCTACATGTCTGCATGCAAAAATGCTCATATTTAGCTGCTCAACCAGTCATTGAAAATAATACCACCAGACAATCAGCGAGGTAGCTGTGCTAGGGGTGTGTGTGTGTGTGTGTGTGGTGGGGGGTACATGGCACTAGGTTCCACCTGAAGAAATTGTCCTTTTTGGTTGTTTGGTTGATTCTATTTCCACTGTGAGAACAGTGGATCATGACGTATCTGATGTATCTCCTTCTAATTAGGGGTGTAAGGTTCCAGTGTGACAGCTGGGCACTTATTATAACAAAATTGAGCAATTCAGGGAGGATTGTTCTGGAGCAGAGAAAATGGCTTCATTTCCTTCAGAACTGTTCTGAAATGTGTGGCCTCCCTTATCCCTATTCTCCAGCAAAGTGCTAGACTTGATGTTTCTGTAAGTTTACTTAATCTGAGCTGCGTGAATAGAGATCATGTTTTGCTTTTCAATCTTTAATCTCCAAGTTGAATTTTCTCCACACATACCTAGAGTTTGGCAGTCTACATTATTTTCCAAATGGATCAACTCTTCAGCAAGAGAGACATAAGTATAACTCGTGGCTGTAGATGTGGTTTAGAAAATGGCTTTGTTAACTGTCTCAGTCCAAACCAGCTCTTCAATGTCAAGGGCAAGCAATGTCTTGCCCATTTACTATTCCACAAAATTGGTTTCTCATTCTACTGCCCATTTCCTGAGAAATGAATGTGCATAAATATATGACATTTCTAGTTATTTTACTGGTGTCCCCCGCTATCCAAAAGTAGAGTCTTCCTATGTAACCTTTTGTAGGCTGAAATAGCTTAAGGCAAAGGATATTCTCTGCCTTCCAAAAGTTCGCCTTAGGCAAAGTGGCCTAACACTTTCCTAAGGTGGAGATACCTGTAGGTACTGACTTAGTCTAAAATTACTTTGTAGAGGACAGGGTTATTTGTAAATCAAAGCTTTGGACTGTCTTTGCTAGTCTTTGTATTTTAGCTTAGATGGGATTTATATAGCCTAATTACATATATATATTTTAAAGCAATAGTTACTCTGTGGTGGAAGCAGGTGTCAAAATGGGAGGAGTGGCAACTGAGATACCTGTAAAAAGCTTGCATCACTAAGTGTGCACTTGATTTGGGAAGGGGTAGGAAGAGTCTGCTTTAGCCTTGATCAGGGAACTTAATTTGTTTACTAAACAGGTCTATTAATTTGCTAATCTCTTATATTGTCAGTGACAAATATTCATACCAGGTGTTTCTCTTTTCTTTCCTAGCAACATCCATTTTTCACCCTACACGAATCCAAAGCAACAGACGTGGCATCTTTTGTAAAACTGATTCTTGGAGACTAAAAACAATGGACTCAATCGGTTGACCCTCCTGTGGATTGGTGGGTGTATTGGGTGAAGCACGTTCACTAAAGCGCCAATAGAAACTCATCTTTGAGATAATTTAACCCTGCCTTTCAGAACATTTTTTTCTCCCCATTTTTTCTTTCCCCTCCAAAGGGGGACTTGGAATCTATAGTATAGAATGAACTGTCTAGATGGATGAAATATGATAAAAGCTTAGGACTTAAAAAGGTGATTAAATATTTAATGATGTGTCATATGAGTCCTTAAGCTTCTCAGACTTCTCTTGTTCTTTACAAAATGAATACATTGGCCCTGGTAAAAAGGTGCTACAGTAGTGATGAAATTGTAAGTAGATTTGTAGTTTGTCCCACTGATTATTTTAATATTTATATTTAAGCACTCGGTTGAAAAGATTCCATTTTATGCAAGGAGGGAGATGTAAAAGACAAGGTTGGGTTGGCAATATTTATAGGGCTTTTATTTTTTAAGTTCAATCTTGTCTATGGTCCAGAAGAAATTATTTAAGATGCATCTTTAAGAGTATTATAAAAATATCAACAAGGAGCTCTTCTTATGAAATATCTGTTCCAGTTGTTGTGGCTTCTGCCATGTTCCCAAATATCTATTCAGTCCTGGGTAATAACTACATATTTTAGGTAAAGTGGCAAGATAACCTGGTCATACTCTTTTCCCAACTTTGAAAAACAAAATCACTTTTATCACAGCTCAAAGAGTCACAGATTTGGTTCTCTTGATGTTTGTGGTATAGTATTAATGGAATGTGATTTGTGGTGTGATTTTGTATCATTTGTCTATCTTTCTATCTGTGTGTGTGTATGTGTGTGTATTTGGTAAGTCACAAGTTCTGCCAAGTGGCTTCTGTGAACATCTATATTTAGTAAGGAGGACATTTGTTAGTCCCGAGGGGAAATATCGTGTCAAATCACACAGAGAAGTGGTGCCTTCAGCTTTTGCCCCTCCTACCAGGTGAAAGCCCCAAGGATTTCCTTTGTAATTAACATGCTCTACTTTTTTTTGGTTTTGTTTTCTTGTTCAGAGACGAAGCCTTACTATTAATGGAGGGGCTGCAATAGAAAAAAATTAAAGGCGGTTAGTAGTTCTTTGATAAGGAGAGGAGATAATGGGGAGGGTTGAATTAATTCCTGGGAATAGATTGCGAAATTTCCGCAGATTGAGTTGAGGCCACATCTTTCTTCAGCAGCATGCAGTAGCTAGCTCACGACAGGAGGCTAGCTCCATTGTGGATTCCCCGCAGGTTGACTAAGCCACAAAAGCTCTTTCTCGTGGCCAAATACACCCATGGGTTTTCTGATTTGGGGCTTTCACTTTCTTGAAGATCAAGGAGTGAAGTGATCCACAGGGAAAATACAGACTGATAACAACCAGGAAATACCACTTTTGGACATTGTGTTAATACAAGGCTACTCCTGCAGTACAAGGACAGAGGATTTTGATTAAAAAAAGAGGAAAAGAACACACTCTGTTTGTTTCCTTGCCTGAAGTTCACAAATAAGGAGAGAGGATCGCTCCCTTGAATCCTCCGCTTCTTCCCCTTTTAGATTTTGAAGTGCAATCATGTATTTTTCTCTGTTTGCATTTTCTCCTTGTTCTTGACCTCTAGCTCCTAGCAGTTGCCCAGAGTGAGTATGGCATCTCCATACACTTCTTCATATTCGGTTCTAAGACCTACCTGTTTGATTAAATGTCAGTTTCATCGCTTTGAAGCTCCCTCTGTCCTCATCTTTCTCCTGCCAGAAAAGGAGTATTATCCTAGTGATTATAGCCATTCATTTTCCCACCCACCTTCCTAAATCTGAAAGTTTCTCTCTTTGAGACTGAAAGAAAAAAATCACAACTGTATTCCTTGCGTGATTCATCCATCTTGTGAGAAAAGAAGGTAGAAGAAAAACATCCGAGGTCATTGCGTTGCAGCTTTTGGTCAAATGTGTAGAGCAAAACATCTTTCTGGTCTGAGTCAGATTATTCATAGCTGTTGTTCAATGTGGTTTCTTCTTTGAAATATTCTTACCCAAGTGTGTTTCTTGTGTGTACTCCTCTCCAGGGCCTGAATTTGCAAGACAATCATGTTGAGGTAGAGAAGGAGTTTGTCAGTGGTTCTCAACCCTGGTGCACGTTGGAATTACTGGAAGCTTGTGAACCCGTCAATGCCAAGGTCCCAGAAATTCTTCCAGGCTGGGCCCTGAGAATTGCTGTTTTTTACAAGCTGCTCATGTGATTCTGAAGCGCAGCAGGGTTGAGAACATTGGTCTAGTACCTCCTAAAGAGAGATTGATTTAAAATGACCTTCTCTTCAACATTTGCGGTGACTGTAGAGAGCATCAAGAGCTCTCACTTCTTTCCGTGTCCTCATCAATGGGGACATCTTTGCCACTATCAGAGAGTATATGTTCCTGGAATACTAATTTGAAATTTGCAATACCTTTTCCCTATAGAAACAATGTACTACATGGTGACTAGATGTCTTCTGTACTGAATGGCTTGATAGCCTTATGAGTCTAAATTTTAGAATGTGGTTTTTTTTTTTTTGAGAACTGTGTTATGAGTTCTAAACAATTAATTTTAAAATAAATATAGAGATTCATAAACTATATTTAAGTTGATATAAGTTGGGAGTCTCTTGTACATACATGCATATATATGTATGTATATATATATATATGGATGTGGATGTGTGTGTGTGTGTATGTGTGTAGAGAGAGAGAGAGAGAGAGAGAAGAAAAACATCCATATCCAGGGATGATACTCAAAATATTTCATGTGCTACCAGCATGCAGACCATCTGAATATGAGCCCTGCCTATATCTATCAATGTATTAGAAAGTCAGCATATCTCTACAAAAGAGACGATGCTCTTTTTTCCAAATGTATTTGATTTATCATATAATTGTCCATATTATAAATTATCTTTATGTTTATAAAAATATCCATCTCTCTCTATATATTGTTGATTTCAAAGGTGTGCCAAAAAGATAATGTGAATGACTTTTAAGACAATTGCTGTATATATGTCCTTATTAATGAGTGTTGCCCTTCAGAGTAGCCACCTTGAAAGACTATATATTTGTATGAATAATGCTACTAAGGTATTTTTGCCACTTCTCTTTCAGCAAAGGCTTCAGAATCCATTTCCTCCCCCATATATTTAACATGCAGAATCATCATTTCATAATTACTCCTTAGTTGTTTGTTTGTTTTGTTTTGTTTTTACAAAAATCCTTACCAGGTATTTCCCTCTTTGGTTTAGTTGTCTTGTTTATCAGACTTAGCAACAAGTTATGCTTGACAATTTTTGGAATTCAGATCTGCCCTCAGAGCTGAAGTTTTACCATCACCGAATCTTTTTGAAAGACCGTATCATGGGCTCTGAAGCTAATTTGAAATGTAGATTTCCCAAAAAAGCGTGCATTTGTTTTTAAGCAAAGTCAGCCTTCCTGGAATAAGCGTAGAACCTCCCAAAATGGTGACTTTCAAGGGGAGAGAACTCACATAGATGTGTATACTTGATGATAAAATATCAGTCAGATAGTCGTCGATTTCACGCATGGCACTCATCTATTACCCGTGATTGAAGGCCATGGAGGAGTGTATATTTTAAAGACTGTGTTTGGTCACACTGACATAGTCAGAATGACCTGGTTAAATAAGCAGCTTCTATGTTGATTAAGCCATCTGAGAATGAGTGTATGTGGGTATAGCTCAAAATTGTTTGTGTTTTACAGATCCTGTATAGCCTCCAAGCCTAACAAAAAAATGTATATGCGAGAGATTCCCAAACTTTCTCTGTTCATGGCACCATTGGTTGTCTTTGTAATTTTCTTCACGGTGACCTAGGCCAAAGAAAATAGTTAACAGTTCCATTTATTAAGTAATTAGGTCCAAACAACTTAATAGTAGTAGGTTGCGCAAGGTCCTGCAGATGTTGCTGTGTTTCCCTCAGATGTTTACCATATCTTGCAGTGCCCCCGTGAGTTTGCTGTGTGTGCTGGGGCATCTCAGGATGTCTCAGCACACAGTTTGGGGAGCATAGATATCTGTATACTGATGTTTGTACTGTCTACAGTCGGTGACCCTCAAAATGGAATTCTTGGCCACTTAATCCTCTCTATTACTTCACTCTTTGTGTTTCATCATCATTATTTTTTTGCTCTCCTCTGCTCGATTAGCTTCTTAATTGAGGTCCTACCCTCCTTTGCTATTCATGAGTCTAGCAGTGCCAGATGTCGTAATCTAGAAAATGAAATACTCATTAGCCTCAGCATTAGAGGAGGCTGGCACTGAGACTAAAGGGGCTCCTGGTTTCTCCAACTGCACTTGGCTTCGTATCTTTGGAATATAATCACATAAGAAGCAAAGAGGGGACAACTTTTTCATAGTTTAACACTAAAAATGCTTTTGTTGACCAAGGGGTTTCATCAGTTCTGCTCAGAGAAACTACTGTTTCTCCTAAAGGTGTTTAACAAAGCACTTGAGCTTTGACCTGAAAGTGCAACGGATGCCTAGTTCCTAATTTCCAACCCTGATGCTTTTTTGGCTATGTAACTCCTTCTGACCTCAAAGGTAGGGTTCATATATCCATAAAATTCACTGGAGCTGGTGTTCAGATCTAGTAAAATGAGTTAAACCTCTGTTGTGCTGCGAATTTTGCCTTCTTAATGTCTATCTGTGACTCAAATGGAGATTTGCTGGCTTAAGGAATCTTCCTTTTTTATTGAATTAGCAAGGGCAAGGTAGGGTTTTTAATTGTACACCCTGAAAATTTATATCTTTGATTGGAAAAATGCCAGAGTATAATCTAGGAAGAGGAAGCTAAGAAACCTGATAGAATAGAAAAAAGATATTTTATTCTAGAAGGTTCATGTTCCTCTTATCTAGGGGAGTGTGTGTGTGTGTGTGTGTGTGTGTTTAGCACTATTAAATGTGCTGGCAGCTAAAGATACTATTTGGTTTTCTTTGGCTTTAATTGGGGTATCTGGATTCCTTTGGGAACCTGTTGAAAGCTAGGACCTTTTCCCTAGGAAAATGCACATTTTACATGGAACACATAATTTTGCAAACATTTTTCGCTGAAGGGGAGTGGGAGGAGAAGTGCAGTTTCTAGACCCCATACGATCAATAACCTCTGCTCTGTAGACTGTGAACTGTGACATTCTAGACCACGCATTGGCGAACTTTTTCTATAAAGGGCCAGATAGTGCATATTTTTGGCGTGGTGTTCCATATAGTATCTGTGGCAGCTACACAAGTCTGCTGTTTTAGCATGAAAGCATCCATAAACAGTATGTAAATGAGTAAGCATGATGGGCATGTTCCAATGAAATTTTGTTTACAAAATCAGACAGTGGACCAGATTTGGCCCACAGGCCACGGTTTGCCAACACCTGTCCTTAGACCAGCAAATAGGAAACTCCAGTTGATTAACTATGTGTGTAGAGTTCTTCTATTTAGTTAGTGTTTAGCTCAACTGCTGTTGAGGTAGATTAGGAAGATGGACATAGGAAAATGAATTTGGAAAGGATGGGGACTGCTCAGTCTCTTGAAAATTGCTTTTTATTTTCTTCAGGTAAGTATTCCTTGCTCTGGAAGCCACTGGGGCAGTTTTCTTCAGATTAAATCGAGTACCTGCTTTTTCTATTTCTATGAAGTAACCAACATAAGTTCCTTCAACTTGGAAATAAAAGGCACCCTTCTCTTAGACATTAACTACATTCTTATCTCTTATCTTTGCATTTTGTTTGTAGTGTGATTCACATACAAGGAGAATCATGAACCCAGACACTAATCCTTGGGTATTCCTTTTCGCCAGGACTGTATTAGGATTTGAGAATTTGGGAGGCCATACTTACCTCAGAAGTAGAAGGCAGATAGAATTCTTAACATCTTCCAATGCATCCACCTCATCTATTTGGCCATCTTTTAAGAAAGTAAGAAAGAATAGTTTTGGGTCAAAATACTGGGTCTCAGGTGGATTTAGAGCTCCCAGCTCTCACTGTGACAGGAGACAGGCTTACCCCTTGAGTCCTGTCCCTGGACCTGGAGAGAGGAGGCTGCTTTATCTTAACTCTTTTTTTTTTTTGAGGAAGATTAGCCCTGAGCTAACTGCTGCCAATCCTCCTCTTTTTGCTGAGGAAGACTGGCTCTGAGCTAACATCCATGCCCATCTTCCTCTACTTTATACGTGGGACGCCTGCTACAGCATGGCTTGCCAAGCGGTGCCATGTCCGCACCCAGGATCCTAACTAGCGAACCCGGGGCCACTGAAGCGGAATGTGTGAACTCAACCCCTGCGCCACCGGGCCGGCCCCCTTAACTCCTTTTTTAATCATCAGGAAATTTCTGTTTTAAGGGGCCTATGCAAAAGCCCTATTTTCTGATGTGATTATCTTGGGTTGCCAGCCCTGGCTGGATTCCTGGGCCCCAAAGCCTCTAATGAAAGCTCTGCCTTCCCTATGGGACCAGAATAATTTGCTTTGCGTTCTATCAGGACCTGCACCCTTCTTGCTGTACACCTAACTGTCTGCCTCTTACCTAATCTATCTCTACTTTCTTCTTCCAGAGCAGCACAACACGTCTTACTTAAGGCTATAGTCTCTTTACTATTCAGAAACATTTTATTTCCTGTTGCATCATCAGGCAAACATTAGTTACACTTAGGATGATGCTCGGAAACTCCTTAGGAGGACATATTTAAGTATTTGATTTGGCAATTTACCTAAAAGTATGTTTTCTCTTCACCTAGGGAAACAAAACCTGAATTCCAGAGCCTTCAAAATGAAATTATCCTTCTGGGGGAAGCACATTGCCACCAAATACATCACTTACCACCTGTTCCTGGTGTCTGCAAAGAAGATGTGTCATTTTTCTGAGGTTTAGAGAGTCACTGTTTACAGCTATGTAAATATAATCCTACCATCGCATGTTTTCTGATGGAGTCGTTTGGATTCAAGACTTAAGTTGAGGTTTATCTTTTCAGTTCCCGAGCCAAACTCCTTTGTCAAGCAAAATTTCTCAAAAAGCCTCTTTCCTATCTGAGATGAAGAGGACGGACTGGGCCTACCTAGAAACACAAAGCAAGGTCAAGGACTTCGTAGTAGGGATTTTTTTTTTTTTAAAAGAAACCAATATCACCTCGTAACACAAACACGTGTTAATGGAATTTTAAAATATTCAGCCCAGTTCCCTGGGACTGTCAGTATCTTGACATCACTTGTGCTGTCATTTGAACTAGGACTTTGAGCCCTTTATTCTTGGGAGTTTACAGTTAGGTTTTGGGAGATTTGCATTGTATTTCTTTCTTAGAGTTGTCAGTGTGGACAGATTTCTTTGTGGGCAGTTAATCTCGACATGCATGGGTTTTCCCCAGGTTACATTTGCATTTCTGGGATTCAGGGTCTCTTTTCGAGGAATGAGCCTAATGCTCCCATGACTTGGAAATTGAGTTCAGGGAAAACACGGGAAAGTTTAGGCGCTTACTGGTGTTTTAATATAGGAAACAGAACTTCCTAAGTGCTCCCTAGAGCCTGTGGCTTCGACCAGGCCATCGCAGTCTTTTCTGTTTTTCTTGATTGCATTTGCTTGTTATTTTTCTTCTGGTCACGGATGACCTGGGCTGATTTGACACTTTTGTAGAAAGGAACTGATCCAACCATTTTCATATCTCCAAACTCAGAATCAACGATTTTGCATCGGTCCACCTAAATGGACTCTGTTGTTCCCAAATCTTGAAAATGTCAGGGATATCTAAGAGAGCTTTTAGCAAAACCCTCATTAAAGATATAAGACCTTATTATAAGAACTTCTATTTGGCCTTTAAAGAAGAGCAGCTGGGTGGGGTATCTGTTCCCCTTAAGTAATATTCTGTTGTGGCCAGAAATGAGCAGTTAGCATCATTCGATCACTACCAACGTTTGTATTGGAGTCTGCAAGCTGTTTCAACAAAGCGTGTCAAGCCACTGCCTTAGGGGATTTTCATCGGACTTTTTGAAGTTTAAGGCTGAACAGTGATAAGAAATCATGTTTAGGGGCTGGGAGAAAAGACAAATGCAAAGAGCAGTGCTAAACTAAGAACTCCATGGAAGGGCAAGCTGATAAAAGAAGCTGGCAGACAGAGTCCTTAACTTATTTTCAGTGTTACTGTAAAAATAATCTCTTGTGAAGAACCCATCAGAAAGCCAAACCTTTATTATTATTTTTTTCTCTTAAAAATACTAAACTATAAGAGGATTCAGGGAGTGGCATTGGTTTGGATATCAGAAAATTTTCTGATGTTTTCCTAGTGTGATTGATTCTTCAGAGTTACCATTTTAAACTGATGGCACCCAGTAAAAAGGTAGATGATTAGAGGAGGGATAAAGCATTTTGAGAGTATACAACCCATCCATCAGCTACGTTCTGGGTAAAGAAAAATGAATCCAAAATTGAGCCCCTTAACCTTTAGTTCTGGTGACGGATGTTTTTAAGAAAGGTAGACACCAAAGGTTGCCTGACGAGCATAGTTTTCCCACAATTCCACAGAGAACTTTAAATGTTCGTAGAAACACACTACAAATCTTCACCAGAAGAGCTAGAATTTATGATTTTAAAACAACACTCAAAGCTAGTTTGAATTTTCAGAAGCAGTGAATTGTGTGGAAGAAGTAGTTGTTTTCTTTTCTTTTCTTCTGATCTCAAGTTGTCTGTCCTAGTGTATGTTCAATACTTGGGGAGGTGAGTTGAGGGTACAGAAGTGGTTTCCAGACTAGGTTCAGCGGTGCCCCTGGGGGTCTCTTGTGAAGGGAAAGGGAGGAGAGTGTGATGAAGGTCAACCTTGCCCATCTGAAACCCTATCAACCTCCAATTAGGATATTTGGCCACCAATATTGTTCCCTTTAACAAGAAGTCCCTGTGACTGTTAAAGGCTTGGGAACTTTGGATGAAATGACAACTTGAGGACCCTAAACAGCCCAAGAATCTGGGAAATTTTCTAGCCAGCAATGTCTGTGAGTCCCTGGCTTTTGCTGTATGGACTATGCCAACGGGGCTTGGAGGCAGAAGGACAAGAAGAGAGGGCCATTTACTTTATTTTTTAAGCATGAATCATATGAAAGAAAATGCGAAAATCATTATGTGATGGCCATAAATATATATTCTTAAATTGGTTATTTTTCTAAAGTGGTTGAGAATAACCTGATTTCAGTGACAAGGAGTGGCCTGAGTAGGCTCTTGATGGGCAGTGGAATTTCTAAATTTCAACATTTGCAGAGGCAGAAGTTGTAATTTTTGACGTGTAGGAAAAGTAAAGCTTTTTGGACAATTTTGGCACAGAGAAGGGTAGATCTGAGACTCAAGCTAACAGAGTTACATTGCTGGATTTTACAAGGGTTACAGGTGGAGAAAGGTAGTGGGAAGCTGGTTCAGCTGAAGCAGCTAATTGGAAGCTGAACCACTAGTTGGTAGCTGAGAACTGTGCTGGTGTATTTCGTGAGAGAATGCTTCGACATCAGCTGAATCATATCAGGTGCCTTCTACACACAAATAAAGAGTCTGTGGTGAATTCTGATAGTGGTTTGTTTGCCGCTAAACCAAATTCAACAGCTGGGATTTCACAGCAGCCATTTTAGAACACTTTATGTGTCAAAAAATTACATTTGGCAACAATTTGTAGAGTTCTCAGCCAATCTCTGTGTAAAAGCCACCCCAGGAGATGCGATTAAGAAAATTCAGACAATTTATCTGTCATATTACCCCTGTATTTGATTTATTCTTTAGTCACAAATTTATTTTCTTAGAGGAGTGATTTTCTATATGAACTGAGATGATGAGATGATGTTTTAATAAAATAGCAGGTATTTTTAGAGGTAAAGTGTTTTCTTTATATGGTTGACTTCCACAGTTGGACGTATTTCCTACTATGTAGAATCATTGCATTGGCTCCTTTTAAGCTGAAAGAAGTATTAGGGATGTAATTCAAATTCCTTATTTAAATACATGAACATTTTTCTATATATTTTGTGAAAATTTTGATGAGATGCTAGATATAACTTCTATGTGGAATTGAACTTTACAAGAATTTTAGTAAAATAGGTGGGTTTTCCCAGCGTCCTTTGTGCTTCAGTTTCATTGCTGAAAATGCTGCTTCCACTTATTAATCTGGTCTTTGTAAGGAAAAAAAGCTACTTGGTTCCAGGACCCCTGCAGATGCTCAAGTCCCTTAGTCAGCCCTTCCTATCGCGGGTTCCGCATCTGTGGAACGGAGGGCTGACTGTATGTGTGATTGATCATTTTCCTATGTTACACCCCAGATTTGTTTTTAGCCATGTTTATTGTAAAGACAGCTGTTGGGGCAAGTGGAACCATGCCTGGTCTTTACAATCCCTTCATGCTAGAATGAAGTAATTCCATATGCTATTTAGGAGGCCATGCTATCTTTTTCTGGTACCTGAAATATTCTGAAAGGAGATCGGAGAGGTTGTGCACCCTATCTTTCCAAACCCATCTTCCACACTGTCTCTGGAGAGTTTGAAATAGAAGAATGACTGCCGTTTTGTGGATCTCCTCATCAACTGACTCCCTCATCTTTGTATAGTGTGCTGCTAGCTTTCCCTGGTGGAAATCATCTCTTCTTTATCTATTGGGAGACTTTTTCTTTATGAATGAGGCAGGCTGAACTATAGAGTATGGAATTCATTACAAGTTCATAAAGTAAAGACCTCTGAAGGATGTGGGTGGAATGTTTCCGTGCCTTTGAGGTAAATGTTAAATTTATGTTCTGGCCCTCGGAACTTTTTGCTGTGAGCTGCAGAAGGAAAGGAGTTAGGGGTATATACTTAGTGTTTTCTATATGGAAATGTGTGGGACAGCTTTCTTAAGGTGGAAACATTCTTCATCATTCTATGGGGAAAGGGAAGTTATGAACATTAATTGATAACTTCAGTCAGGGTTCAGGATTGTATTTAAAAATACCTGTTTTGTGGAGAAGTGTGCCTTTTGTTGTCTTTGCTGTATTGGCTCTGGTGGCCCTCGTGCATTTTCATTTTAGCCGAGCTTTCCTGTTATCTAGGTTGTGTGCATTGTTTTTTGTTTTTCTTTTGAACTACTGCTTATTGTAACTGGTGATTTTATCTCAAAATTCTGAAACGAAGGAAATAGCTAATGTGCAGGACTTGGGGTGGACGCAAGTATTGGTGCTGATGTAGGTTGAGTTTTAATAGAGTTATCAGAAATGTACTGATTTGAGGGATAATGTGGCTTTAAAGAAGTAATTTTTGCTTTTAACATTTGGAGAAGCCACCTGTCCTAAGTCCTTATTCTTGAGAAATTCATCTTTTAATGCAAATACCATTGGTGGGGCATACTTAATACCTGGATGATTGTCCTCTATCAGTAAATAAACAAAGCATTATAATAATTGCCAAAGGTGGAGGTAATTTTGTCTTATAATAGGTCATTCTATGGTGAAATTTTCCAATCAGAGTATCTTGTAAAAAGTCTAAGTTTATGATTTCCCTCCTCTTTTCTGATTCAAGAGCACGGTAAAGGAAGAATAAGGTTCTGATTGCTATGAAATAGTTCTTTGAATCTGTGTTTTGACCAAGGAAATGGCTGAGATGTTGAACTGGGTGGTTGTTACATGGTTCATATGGCGATCGCTCTGGCTCCCCTCTCACCACCTCAAAAGGAAAATGAAATTGACAGGTTAAGTCAAACTTGGACTCCTCTGTTGATGAGGAGCTTACACTTTGATTTCCTATCTCAGGATATTCTTCAGTTTCATACTGCTGCTGAGGAGGAAGGAACAAGCTGCAGACACTGTAACTGGTCTCCGGATGTTGTGCGTGTGTATGTAAAACTTCACACCGTGTGTGTTGTGTTCAATGTTGTGTCAATCTATGAACTGACTCAAACAACAATTTGAAGATAGAGAAGACAGTGATAATGGCAAAAGACACCCAACCACCTCACTCTGTCAAAGTGCTTGCTATGACTTTCATAGCTAGGACAAGTAACATAAGTATTCAGGAGCAAGGTGTCCTTGAAAGAAATGGTGTGTTGATCTCGTAAGAAAATGTACAACCAATAAAAGACATTTTAAAAACTGCAGTGAGTCTGTATATTAATTGAGTTGTTCATGGAAATCCTTTTTTTTTTCCAGAAATGCTGCTTTTATGCGCAGAAGCCCTGCAGGTAAAAGCTTTGCTTGAACGATCTATTCTCTTTTTCTTCCCCCATCTCTATTTCCCCACTTGTAAAATATAATAGAACAAAACATCACAAAACAACAGTATTGCAGTCTTGAAGACTCATTAGAAAGTCATCCCATCTGTAGCGAACTTCAGACTCAATATTGTTACAGTCAGTATTTCTAGCTGAGAAATGAAGGCCAAGACTTCATTATTAAAATCAGATAGCTTGTGGTGGGGATGAGTCCAGATGGCTTAAGTGAAAAGATTAAGACCAAGACCTTTTGACTTCATGTGTTCCTGACACTAAACTATTAGGCCAATTAGTCATTCAAATTTTTCCTGGTCCTATATATAATACACATAATATTAGGAAATTTGCTGTACACCATCAGGCAGTGCCACGGTGCAGATATTCTGGGAAAGAAGGAAACAGTCATACATCGCTTAATGATGGGGAAACATTCTGAGAAATGTGTCATTAGGCAATTTCGTTGTTGTACAAACATCATAGAGTGTCCCTACACAAACCTAGAGGGTGTAGCCTACTACACATCTAGGCTATATGGTACTAATTTTATGGTACCGCTGTTGTATGTGGTCCATTGTTGGCTGAAACGTCGTTATGTGGCGCATGACCATATAAGTAAATAGTTGGGTCTACAGGCTTCTCTGATTTCTCCTATGAACTGGATGACCAGACCTATTTGACTTCTAGTCACCTTAATCCAGTTTACAGAAGAATTGTTGTTAGTGCCTGAGTCAATTCCAACTCCTAGCAACCCTGTGTACGGCAGAGCGGAACCCTGCCTGGTCTGTTTGTGCCATCCTCTCACTTTTCGGCGCTGTATCGGACAATGCTCTGCTGCGATTCACAGCGTTTTCATGGTCAACTTTTTCAGATGTGAGTGGCCAGGTCCTTCTTCCTACTCTGTCTTAGTCAGGAAGCTCTGCTGAAACCTGTCCACTATGGATGACCCTGCTGGTATTTGAAATACTGGTAGCATAGCTTTCAGCATCACAGCAACACACAGCTGCCACAGTATGAGAACTGACAGACAACTGGTGTGGTTCCCTGATGGGGAAACAAACCCAGGCCCCAGTGGTGAGAGTGCTGAATCTTAACCACTACCAGGGCTGGTTATAGAGAAGAATTGCTAGACCCTAACATTAACAGTTTGAGCGATCACCAATTATACCCAGAGGCACACATTCACCTCTCTCTTGCTTATTGCTTAAACAGATTGATGTTGCTGAACCAGGAGTAGATTCCTTGAAAAGCCCCTAGTATTTCACCTTAGATATGTGTCATTTCAGGGGTTAGACTCTGAAGTGGAGGGCTCCCCCTACTTCTGCATGCATCACTCAAAGGACTTTCCAATGACAGTAGACTCTACTATATTGGTTTTGAAGTCCTTTTCCCCCTGCACTATAGTAAGATTGCTGTAATCCTTCATTTTTCTTAAGCAATACACCTTGTTTGGCATTAGAAATTTTGTTTAAGTTGCTGTAAGGGTAAGGTATGTGGCTGGGGAAGGCACGAACAGACACAGCATTCTCAGGCATCACGTGAAGTTTATTTTATCCGCTTCTCCAGAGCCATCCCTTATTTTCATAGTTTAAAATATCAGATTTTAAAGTATTTTCCTTTTGATGGGTATAATGCCTTTTTTCTTGCACACCTCTCATGTTGAATGACACAAATTTGCCCCATCAAAATGATTCCATTTACTCAAGATTTTGTGAGAAACTGTGAATTAAACTGGAAAATGGAGAAAGGCAATTGGGGTAATAACAAAATCTTTCTGTGGTTGTTTCTTGGTGTTTTGGTTGTCTACTGTAACATAGCAAACCCCCAAACTTAGTAGCTTAAAATAACAGTTTATTACTGTTTCTCTCAGTCCTGTGAACTGACTGGGCTCAGCTAGGTGATTCTTTTTTTCTTTTTTTTGGTCAGGAAGATTGGCCCTGAGCTAACATCTGTGCCAATCTTCCTCTATTTTTTGTCTGTGGAACACTGCCATAGCATAGCTTGATGAGTGGTGTGTAGGTCTACACCCAGGATTCGAACCTGCGAACCCTGGGTCACTGAAGCAGAACACATGAACTTAACCACTATGCCACTAGGCTGGCCCCTCAGCTGGGTGGTTCTTGCTTGTCATCTCTCATGCAGTTGCATGCAGGTAGCTGGAGCAAGAGTCATTGAGAGCTTCTGCATTCACACGTCCCATGCCTGGGCTGGGGTGGTTGGATTAGGATGGATCTGGGGACTAATAAGGCATCTCTTCTTCATGTGGCTCTCTCTGTGGCTGGCTTTGGCTTCTCACAGCCTGGCCATCTCAGAGTAGTTGGAATTCTTCCGTGACAGTTGGATTTCCCCAGAATTAGTGATCCAGCAGGCCCAGGCTGAAGCTGCAAGGAATTACACTGTGTAATTTCCACTGAATACTGGGATGTGTGTTTCCTGGTGGGGGCATCTTTGAGGACTAATTACCATGCTTGGTCAGTCCAATACAGTTGGAATATACTGTGAACTTAAAAGTGGAACTTATTCCTTCTTTCCAAGAGGGAGTAGACAAAATGTATTAAAATTAATGATGAAATTAGGTTCCATTTATTTATCATCCACAATTTTGTCAAGGAAAGCACTTTGGTGAATATGATGTTATCCTGTAGAGGGTAGTTAGCCATTGCTGCCTGAAAGTCTTAAGCCAGAGTTTGAATTACAATGACACAGGAGAGAATTAAACATTGACACTAATGACTCACAAAACTCCTATTAGTACTTGCTCACCACCCCAGATGGTCATGGTTCATAAATACTTGCTTAGTAGGTGTTTTCCTCTCAAATGGATATAGCTTTGTTTTTTATTTTAAAAATAGTGCATTATAAGAAAACTTAGAGAATACATGCAGGAAAATAAACATTATCCACAATTCTGAGTTAATTATTCATGTATTCTTTGAAATGTATTGTTGCATACTTTTTTTTACAGATACACATGCATACACAGCCTTAATGGGATTATACTACTGTTACCTGCCTTGCTTTCCAAATTATATTACAGGCATCTTATCATGTCAAGTAAGGTGGTAGCACCATCATTTTTAATGGCTGCCTAATATTCCAATATATACACACACATATATTTAACTGCTTCCCCTATTGGTGGGAATTGATTATTTTCTTTTGATTGCTTTGATAAATATCCTTATTCCTACATCTTTATGCATGAGCTTGACTGTCTCAGAGAAGTTTTAAAGAGCTGAAGGACCTCAAACATTTTCCCCAGGACTGAACATCAGCCATGGTTTCACTTACTTGTCTCAACCCAGCTCTCTCCTTCCATTATTGTGGTGCCCATTCCTCTCCAGGTTCAACCTTAAACTAGGAGATCAGACCTGTCTGGCAATAAATCCAAATTAAGAATTTTCACCACTGAGTCCTGTCCACATGATGATGTCCTGATGGTCCTAAAGATATATTTCTTGAATAAATTAGAGCATAAGGAATGTCTTCCAGGAACATCCACAGAGAAAGAAATTATCAGCAAGAAGCACTTGAAGAGCAAGTACAGAGCATAGGAACAGAGAATTGGAACCTACCTCTAAGAACCAAAAGGTTACTTTTTCTTTGTTTTTTTTTTAACTTTTTGAATTTTTTGTATGATTATGCAATGCCGGTAATAGGCAAGAGCAGAACGTCCAGTTGGTCTGGTGGACACTCTACCCATTTAAGACCATACAAGTCTTAATGAGGCTAGAGCTAGAACTTTGCAAACAAAACTAATCATCGCTCATCCAGTGGGCATTAGCTCTGGAGACCCTCTTCAGATGTGATGTGGCTATACTAGTTTTGAGATCTCTACACTACCCTGGAATTTGCCTTCTGTGCTCTTGCTTTGCAAAGCTATGGCATCAGTGCCATCACCCAGGAGCTTATTAGCAATGCAGAGAAGAACGTAGAATGCAACACTATCCCCAGGTGATTCATATTCACATTATAGTTGGAGAAGTCGTAGTCTAGCTCATCCAATTTTGAAGCTTCAGTTGTCAGATTGCAAATGCTATTGCAATTGTTTTGATGTTTACCCTACATTACGGGTAAGAGATGCCTCTGGAAGTGATAATCAGATTTATAAAGTTGAATATCTGTATTGGATGGAGGAATTTATGTATTAAAGTGTATTTAAATATATTGGCACTCTAATGTTTGGTTAGATGCAATTTCCTTTTGTTTTTCATTACAGGATTATTAAAAATAAGTATCATGAAGGGGAAAAAAATGACCCTTATGCATGAACATCTTTACACCAGTTATAGATAAAAGTGCTTTGTAGATTCCAAATGAAATGCTGCTTTAGGAATGCAGAGCGTTGTGTAGGCTTCCTGGTGAAGGAGGGCTAAGAAATGGTGACCATGAAGCTTAGCGAATGACCTACAAGAATGCTGCTTCCACTGTTTCCAAATTCAGTTACTTCCTGGTATTATCTGGATCTTAATGCACCTCATCTTGAGTTTCCTTGCACTGCCAGTCTAGTCAGAAACTTCCTTGACAAGTGGTGGCTCTCCATCCCCAAAGAAAGGCAGAGGCAGGCTCAGAACTTAGTGCTACTTGCATAAGAATAGTCAGCTCAGCTCAGCACAGTCAGTTTTCCTAGGATCTAGAGTGACCCTCAGACTAGGAGGCAAAGAGGTGTTCTTAGACAAGAACTTGCTAAACCACTTGACATTTTGAGCAGCTGCAGAACTGTTTATCAAGAGCATGCCATCTCTCTTGGCTCCTCCAATTTGGCAGCCAGGAAAGTCAAGCCAGTGACATCGTGTGCTTTAGAAAACTTGTGAACAATTCACAACCTCCACCACAAAGTGGCTAAATTGGTCTTATAGTCAGATAGTGATCACTGGATGGGCTATCCT